GGAGGCCGGGGGAGGGGGGAGGAGGGAGGGACGGGGAGAAACGGTGTTGGTTGCAGCGGGTTGTGCCCTGAGAGGAGGTTGAGTGGAGGAGGCTGGGCTGGGGATGTGGGCGTAGGAGGCGGGAATGGCGCCGTCCAGCCCGTTCTTGTCGAGATAGAGGCTTGCCAGGAAGGGGTGTTTAAGGCAGGGTTAAAAAAAACGAAGGTTTTTTTGAAAATTTACCGTAAAAAACGGTATCGTAAAAAAAGGTCGTAAAAAACGGTTTAAAACGGTTCCATGAGGTGTTTCCTGTTTAACTAACAAAACGGCCACTTAGTGGGACCAAATTGAACCCGAAATGCAGCAGCATGAAGGGGACGGGCTCCTTCTTGCATGTATGCGCTTGTTGGCATGATTGAAAATGTTTTTGACCTTGTTTTTCTCTTTTTTTTTCTTGGTGAACAGAGTTCTCTAGCAAAAAAACGGCCGTTTTTTTTTCTTCAAATCACCGTAAAAAACGACCGTAAAAAACGGACCGTATTTTACGAAAATCGTAATTTTGAACCTTGGTTTAAGGGGTGCTGCCACACCAGTGCCTCAGCACACAGTAGAATCCCACTGATTAGGGAGATTCCAGGCCACATGGGTGAGTTGAGACAGTTTTCTTACATGGTTCGGAGGCTTTCGATCTCAGCGAGTGCCTCCGGAACTGGGCCGGTAGAACACACGGCACACAGTAGAATCACACCAAACAAGGAGATTCCATTCCAGGCCACATGGTTGGTTGAATTGAGTTGAGACAGTTTGCTTACACGGTTCGGAGGGTATTGATTTTAGCGAGTGCCTCTGGAACAGGGCCGGTGAGGTTGGAGTTGAAACTCAGATCGCTGCATGGGAGGGAGAGAGAGAGGGGAGAAGAGGAAGTAAGGATGCCAGATGTGAGGTCTGCCAGGGATCGTCAGCCGTGAGGGAGCGAAGCAACGGGAGTGCCTCTGGAACAGTGTCTCTTCACACTTAACAACCACACTAGCACCAGTCCCAGCCCACAAACCAGACAAATAACTCCGCCCTCCCTTGTGTCCCTCAATGCATCAATGATACACTGTTTGACACGTCTCCTACCAACCAACCAAGCAATGAAACAGCCATACATGCAACCAACCAACCAACCCACCAACCCACCAACCAACCAAGTCAACAGGCATACATACATGTATCTGAGTGAGCTTCTGCAAGCTGGAGATTGAGCTAGGCACCGTGCTGTTGAAATGACTTTTGAGTCGACTACAAAATCAACCCAACAACGCCACCCACCCCCAAGCAACCTACCAATCATGCAGCCATTCATCTATCTGAGCTTCTGCAAGCTGGAGATTGAGCTGGGCACTGTGCTGTTGAAATGACTTTTGAGTCGACTACAAAATCAACCCAACAACGCCACCCACCCCCAAGCAACCTACCAATCATGCAGCCATACATACATGTATCTGAGCTTCTGCAAGCTGGAGATTGAGCTGGGCACTGTGCTGTTGAAATGACTTTTGAGTCGACTACAAAATCAACCCAACAACGCCACCCACCCCCAAGCAACCTACCAATCATGCAGCCATACATACATGTATCTGAGCTTCTGCAAGCTGGAGATTGAGCTGGGCGCTGTGCTGTTGAAATGACTTTTGAGTCGACTACAAAATCAACCCAACAACACCACCGACCCCCAAGCAACCTACCAATCATGCAGCCATACATACATGTATCTGAGCTTCTGCAAGCTGGAGATTGAGCTGGGCACTGTGCTGTTGAAATGACTTTTGAGTCGACTACAAAATCAACCCAACAACGCCACCCACCCCCAAGCAACCTACCAATCATGCAGCCATACATACATGTATCTGAGCTTCTGCAAGCTGGAGATTGAGCTGGGCACTGTGCTGTTGAAATGACTTTTGAGTCGACTACACAATCAACCCAACAACGCCACCCACCCCCAAGCAACCTACCAATCATGCAGCCATACATACATGTATCTGAGCTTCTGCAAGCTGGAGATTGAGCTGGGCACTGTGCTGTTGAAATGACTTTTGAGTCGACTACAAAATCAACCCAACAACGCCACCCACCCCCAAGCAACCTACCAATCATGCAGCCATACATACATGTATCTGAGCTTCTGCAAGCTGGAGATTGAGCTGGGCACTGTGCTGTTGAAATGACTTTTGAGTCGACTACAAAATCAACCCAACAACGCCACCCACCCCCAAGCAACCTACCAATCATGCAGCCATACATACATGTATCTGAGCTTCTGCAAGCTGGAGATTGAGCTGGGCACCGTGCTGTTGAAATGACTTTTGAGTCGACTACAAAATCAACCCAACAACGCCACCCACCCCCAAGCAACCTACCAATCATGCAGCCATACATACATGTATCTGAGCTTCTGCAAGCTGGAGATTGAGCTGGGCACTGTGCAGTTGAAATGACTTTTGAGTCGACTACAAAATCAACCCAACAACGCCACCCACCCCCAAGCAACCTACCAATCATGCAGCCATACATACATGTATCTGAGCTTCTGCAAGCTGGAGATTGAGCTGGGCACTGTGCTGTTGAAATGACTTTTGAGTCGACTACAAAATCAACCCAACAACGCCACCCACCCCCAAGCAACCTACCAATCATGCAGCCATACATACATGTATCTGAGCTTCTGCAAGCTGGAGATTGAGCTGGGCGCTGTGCTGTTGAAATGACTTTTGAGTCGACTACAAAATCAACCCAACAACGCCACCCACCCCCAAGCAACCTACCAATCATGCAGCCATACATACATGTATCTGAGTGAGCTTCTGCAAGCTGGAGATTGAGCTGGGCACCGTGCTGTTGAAATGACTTTTGAGTCGACTACAAAATCAACCCAACAACACCACCCACCCCCAAGCAACCTACCAATCATGCAGCCATACATACATGTATCTGAGCTTCTGCAAGCTGGAGATTGAGCTGGGCACTGTGCTGTTGAAATGACTTTTGAGTCGACTACAAAATCAACCCAACAACGCCACCCACCCCCAAGCAACCTACCAATCATGCAGCCATACATACATGTATCTGAGCTTCTGCAAGCTGGAGATTGAGCTGGGCACTGTGCTGTTGAAATGACTTTTGAGTCGACTACAAAATCAACCCAACAACGCCACCCACCCCCAAGCAACCTACCAATCATGCAGCCATACATACATGTATCTGAGCTTCTGCAAGCTGGAGATTGAGCTGGGCACCATGCTGTTGAAATGACTTTTGAGTCGACTACAAAATCAACCCAACAACGCCACCCACCCCCAAGCAACCTACCAATCATGCAGCCATACATACATGTATCTGAGCTTCTGCAAGCTGGAGATTGAGCTGGGCACTGTGCAGTTGAAATGACTTTTGAGTCGACTACAAAATCAACCCAACAACGCCACCCACCCCCAAGCAACCTACCAATCATGCAGCCATACATACATGTATCTGAGCTTCTGCAAGCTGGAGATTGAGCTGGGCACTGTGCTGTTGAAATGACTTTTGAGTCGACTACAAAATCAACCCAACAACGCCACCCACCCCCAAGCAACCTACCAATCATGCAGCCATACATACATGTATCTGAGCTTCTGCAAGCTGGAGATTGAGCTGGGCGCTGTGCTGTTGAAATGACTTTTGAGTCGACTACAAAATCAACCCAACAACGCCACCCACCCCCAAGCAACCTACCAATCATGCAGCCATACATACATGTATCTGAGCTTCTGCAAGCTGGAGATTGAGCTGGGCACTGTGCTGTTGAAATGACTTTTGAGTCGACTACAAAATCAACCCAACAACGCCACCCACCCCCAAGCAACCTACCAATCATGCAGCCATACATACATGTATCTGAGCTTCTGCAAGCTGGAGATTGAGCTGGGCGCTGTGCTGTTGAAATGACTTTTGAGTCGACTACACAATCAACCCAACAACGCCACCCACCCCCAAGCAACCTACCAATCATGCAGCCATACATACATGTATCTGAGCTTCTGCAAGCTGGAGATTGAGCTATGCACCGTGCTGTTGAAATAGTTGCCCATGAGATCGCTGCAGGGAGACGGTGAGGAAGGGGGGAAGAAAGATGGAGAGAAGGGGAAAGGGGCAACAGAGGGACAATGAGCTGGGCACCGTGCTGTTTTAATAGTTGCCCTTGAGATCGCTGCAGGGAGAGGGGGGGGGGGTGGGGGGAATGGGGGGTGGGGGAGGAGAAGAAAGAAGGAGAGAGGGGGAGAGGGGGAAGGAGAGAGGGCGACAGAGAGAGTGAGCTGGGCACAGTGCCGTTGAAATAGTTTCCCATGAGATCGCTGCAGGGAGGGGAAAGGGGGGAAGAGGGGGAGGAAGGGGGGAAGAAAGATGGAGGGGTGGGGAGCGGAGCAAGAGAGAGAGTGCTATTGAGCACCGTATGAGGAGCACAGTTTCCTCTGCGTTGGAGCCCCGCAACCTCAGAAGGAGCTCTCTAAAAGACCTGACCTGATAACCCACTCACAGGTGCACGAGCGTGGTGGAGAACGAGCTGGTCGCCGCTGTCCTCTGGGATGGGGAGAGACAGGAGGAACCAGTGTGGACTGACAGACAGTGGAATAAGGAACTCTGAATGCTCCCTTCTCTGCTCTAAAAGACCTGACCTGATAGCCCACTCACAGGTGCACGAGGGTGGTGGAGAGCTGGTCGCCGATGTCCTCTGGTGGAACGGAGTGACTCTTGAGTCCACTCAGAAACCCTTGGAGGGTGGTGCTGAGGACCTTTGAGACGTCTAAAAAAAAAGAGCTGAAGACCCACTCACAGGTGCACGAGGGTGGTGGAGAGCTGGTCGCCGATGTCCTCTGGAAGGGCCCCAGTCAGGAGGTTGGCCCAGAGAGATGGAATGAGGTGAATTGTGAGTCGACTCAGAAACCTTGTAAGGGAGGTGCTGAAGACCCACAAAACGATGCTGTCAACCCACTCACAGGTGCACCAGGGTGGTGGAGAGCTGGTCGCCGATGTCCTCTGGAATGGGGCCAGCGAGGAGGTTCGCTGCCAGGCTCCTGCTCATTCATTCATTCATTCATTGCCATGCGCACACACAGCACACAACAGAGATGTGGCTGTAAGTGAGTGATGTGACACCACGAAACGAACGAGGCACAGGCGGCGGGACACGGGTACACTGGGCAATCCTAGAAAACAACAGACAGAATGCACCACGTCTCTGTCTGGAATTGGTGGGTTCTGTGGCAGCTGAAAACACACAATCTCGATGGCGATCTCACAGGAATGTAACTTGATGGAAGGTGACTTACAGGAATGTGAGCTTACAAGACTGTGAGCGGACGTACAGGAATGTGGGGGCTTACCGGAATGCGGGGGCTTACAGGAATGTGAGCTTACAGGAATGTGAGCTTACAGGAATGTGAGCTTACAGGAATGTGAGCTGAGGCCAGTAACCAACAACAGTCTCAGGCCAGTACTTGATCTGATTCTCTGCCAGTGAACTGAGACAGCAGCATGGAGAGGGAGGGGGATGAATACCACATGGTTTACATTTGAGGCGCCTCAAATACCGTGTCAGGCCAGTACTTGATTTGATTCTCTGCCAGTGAACTGAAGCGAAGTGGGGCAGCATGACGACGGAGGGGGATAAAAGGTTATGGAGAACGTTCAGAAGCAACTTAGATTTAGCTGGATTTTCAAACAACAGTCTCAGGCCAGTACTTTTGCTGATTCTCTGCCAGTGAACTGAGACAGCAGCACGGGGAGGGAGGGGAATGAATGACACAAGGTTTATATTTGAGGCACAGCAAATACTGTGTCAGGCTAGTACTTTTGCTGATTCTCTGCCAGTGAACTGAAGGGGCAGCATGGGAGGGAGACAGGGGAACAAGTGACGAAAATAAGATATGGGGAGAAAGATATTGAATAAGAGGAAATGGACGATTAGCACAATAGAATACATGATTAAAATGGACAGATGAGGAAAATGAAAGGGGGCTAGATTATGCCACATCATGTCATGTCACATCACGTCATGTGCCAGTCGTGTCATTTCATGTAACGTCACATAGTGGCTGGCTTACACATGCTGCAGGTTGGTCATCTGCTCAGCCGTATCGTTCATGCATGCAATGCTATGTCAGGCCATGCCATGTCATGTAACGTCACATAGTGGCTGGCTTACACATGCTGCAAGTTGGTCATCTGCTGGCAGAACGCTGCCTGGCGGAAGAAGGTGAAGTTGTTGGAGCCAAGGTCACTGGTGGGGCAGAACAGAGGGGGGGAAGCCAAGGCCAGAAGCAAAGGAAGGAGAGATTGTTGGAGCCCGGATCGCTGGTCGGGCCGCAGAGAGGGGAAGGAGAGAGCCAGAGGGGCTGAGAGGGGCCGAGAGGGGTTGCGTGCGATGGGCAGACGAGACAAATGAGCTTAGCGAGAAAGACTATTGTGAAAACTGCGAATCTGTGAATAGCAACGGGAGGATCAAGGAGCAGTCACGGGTTGTAGGGTTGTAGCAATAGAGGGCAGGGTGCTGCGATCAAGTAGGTGCAGAGCAGCGGGCATTGAGGTGTATTTTGAGGCGCCTCAAAATACACCTCACAGAGCAGTCACAGGTTGTAGGCTTGTAGCAGTAGAGGGCACGGTGCTGCGATCAAGTAGGTGCAGAGCAGCGGGCAGGCAGGATATGATTGAGCAGGGTTGAGAGCGTTGCGGTGCATTGCATTGGGGTATGGTGGCGCTCACAGGTATGTGAGAACGTTGAGGTGCAGTGCGGTGGGGTGCGGTGGCGCTCACAGGTATGTGAGGGCGTTGAGCTGGGAGAGACCGAAGCAAGGAATGTCCCCCACAAGGTCGGCATGACGGAGATCACTGGAAACGAGGGGGGGAGAGAGAGGAGAAGAGGGGGGAGGTAAAAGGCGAAGGGAAGGGAGGGGAGGAGAGAGTGAGAAACAGACATGAGCAAAGTACCAACTAAACTGGTCCGTTCGCTCTGCTCATTTGTTCAAACCAGTTTGCGACCAACCTGAATCGAACGAACCAGAATCCAACCGAACCAAACCGCGATTCGTCACAGTGCTTAATGTGTAAGTGAGTGACTCACAGGTGCACGACTTGGCGTGTGCGGTTGTCACACTTGATGGAAGTGGCCCAGGAGCCGTCGCAGGGGTCAGAGTCTTGCCTCCATGAGGGCAGCACGTCTGTCCCTGCTGCTGCCCTCAGCCCTGCCAGCATCTCCATCAGTGCAACAGCTGGACGGAGGGAAGTACAGGCGAAGGGACGGAAGAGAATAAGAGAGAAAGGGAAAGAGAAGGATAGTGCGGTGGTCACACTTGATGGAGGTGGCCCAGGAGCCGTCACAGGGGTCAGAGTCTTGCGTCCACGAGGGCAGCACGTCCGTCCCTGCTGCTGCCCTCAGCCCTGCTAGCATCTCCATCAGCGCAACAGCTGGGCGGAGGGAGGGGAAGGGAGGGGAAGGGAGGGGAAGGGAGGGGAACGGGAGTAAGTAAGGTAAAGAGTAAGCGGAAAGAGGGAGAGGGGGAGACCACAGGGGTCAGAGTCTTGCGTCCATGAGGGCAGCACGTCTGTCCCTGCTGCTGCCCTCAGCCCTGCCAGCATCTCCATCAGTGCAACAGCTGGGCGGTGGGAAGTACAGGCAAAGGGGCGGAGGAGAACATGAGAGAAAGGGAGAGAGAGAGAAGCACATCTGTCCCTGCTGCTGCCCTCAGCCCTGCCAGCATCTCCATCAGCGCAACGGTTGGTGGTGGGATAGGGAGGAAGGGAGTTCAGTAAGGATGAGGAAGGGGAATGGTGAGGAGACGAGGAGGAGAGGAAGGCCGGGAGAGAGAGGGGCAGCACGTCTGTCCCTGCTGCTGCCCTCAGCCCTGCCAGCATCTCCATCAGCACAATGGCTGGGCGAAGGTGGGGAAAGGAGGAAGGAGGGAAGGAGAGAACAGGGACGGAGGGGAGAGAAAAGGGGGAGGTGAGGATGAGTAGAAGTACAGGAAAGGAGGGGGAGGAAGGGGAAGGAAGGAAGGAATGTGATCCGATTCCCTGGCACTCACCGTCGGGTGAGGGTAGGGCGGAGGAGGCGGAGGGGTCGACAGTGGTCTCGGCAGGAGTGGGCTCTGAGCCTCCGGGCTGCCTGGGAGCTGCTTCGACTGGAGGCAGTCACACGAACCAGCCCACAAGCCCAGCAGTTCCATACTGCACACTGAGATACGTGATTCGATCCCCTGGCACTCACCACAGTCGGGCGAGGGCAGGGCCGAGGAGGCAGAGCCTATTTTTGAGTCGACTCAAAAATAGACTCACTACATGCGATCCCCTGGCACTCACCGTCAGGCGAGGGCAGAGCCGAGGAGGCAGAGGGGTCGACAGTGGTCTCGGCAGGAGTGGGCTCTGTCCCTCCGGGCTGCCTGGGAGCTGCTTCGTCCGGAGGAGGCTGGGTGGGGGCGACGGGCGAGGAGGGGCAGCGGTTCCTCTGCGCGCCCTCTGCTGTTGCCAGGCAGTTGCTCGAGAAGCTGAGGACAGGGGAGGGGGGATATGGGGGGCAGGTGGGGGGACGGGGTGGTTAGGACGGGAGGCTGTGTGGCAGTGGCGAGGAGGGGCAGGGGTTCCTCTGGGCGCCCTCTGCTGTTGCCAGGCAGTTGCTCGAGAAGCTGAGGACAGGAGGGATATGGGGGGCAGGTGGGGAGAGGGGGTGGTTAGGACGGGAGGCTGTGTGGCAGTGGCGACGGGCGAGGAGGGGCAGGGATTCCTCTGCGCGCCCTCCGAAGTCTCCAGGCAGTTGCTTGAAAAGCTGAGGACAGGGTTGAAATGGGAGACACAGGGGGCAGGTGGGGAGAGGGGTGGTTAGGATGGGAGGCAGGAGGGGTGGTTCGGATGGGGAGAGGGGTGGTGGTTAGGATGGGAGGCAGCGGAATGGAAGCAGGAGGGTGCATGGTGGGCACGGGTGAGGAGGGGCAGGCAGGGGTTCCTCTGCGCGCCCTCTGCTGTTGCCAGGCAGTTGCTTAAAAAGATGGAAAAATCACACCATCTACAGAATGGCGGTCATTAATAAGCGATCACGTGGCATGGGGGCGGGAGACGCTTACTCGAACTGCAGAGGGCCGCCCGCTGGGACGGCAGGCACAGGGCCGGTGAGATAGTTGTCAGAGACGTCTCTGGTTGGAAGGGGAGAGGGGAGCCGGGAGGGGGGACACGGGGGGAACAGAGGAGAATGGGGGTTAGGAGCCGACTCAACAAGAGCCCGCCGGGGGACAGGGCCGGTGAGGTAGTTGCCAGAGACGTCACTGTGGGGAGAGGAAGCGGAGGTAGGGGGAAGACGGGGGGGAGACAGAGCCAGGTGGGGACGAGGGACACAGAGCCCGCTGGGACGACAGGCACAAACTGCAAAGGGCCGCCTGCTGGGACGGCAGGCACAAACTGCAAAGGGCCGCCTGCTGGGACGGCAGGCACAAACTGCAAAGGGCCGCCTGCTGGGACGGCAGGCACAGGGCCCGTGAGATAGTTGTCAGAGACATCGCTGTGTGAAAAGGGGAGGGGGGAGAGGGGAGCAGGGAGGGGCAGAGGAGGAGGGGTTCGACTCAACAAGTGCCCACTAGGATGACAGGCACAGGGCTGGAGAGATAGTTGTCAGGGACGTCGCTCCAAGGGGGGGGGGGGGGAGACAGCCGGAGAGAGTGGAGATTAAGGCAAACAGGCAAGTGACAAAAACAATGGGGGGTGGGGGGGTTGACGGGATCACCAGGCAAAGTCCACTCACAGCAGGCGCAGCTCCTTGAGGTTGCTGATGATGCAATCCGGAATGGCCCCCCTCAGCTCGTTCCGTGCCAGCACAATCGTCTTGGCCTTCCCCAGCCGACAGAAGCTTCCAGGAATCTCCCCCGAGAGCCGGTTGCTGCTGAGGTAGAGCGTGGCCAGGTTTGGCATGTCGCCGTACAGGCCCGGGATGGAACCTTCCAGGCTGTTGCGGTCGAGATAGAGCTCTGCGAGTGCAGGTAGCTTGGCATAGCCCACTGGGAGAGATCCTGAGAAATCACACTCCTCGAAAGCACTGGAAGGAAGGACGGGGGTGTGGGGAAAGGACGGGAGTTTTGAGTCAACCCAATGGGCAGCTTGGCATAGCCCACTGGGAGGGATCCTGTGAAGTCACACTCCTCGAAAGCACTGGAAGGAAGGAAGGAAGGAAGGATGGGGGTGTGGGTGTGGGGGCAGGAGGACAGGACTTTTGAGTCGAATCAAAGGAACCTTGGCATAGCCCACAGGGAGGGACCCTGTGAAGTCACACTCCTCGAAAGCACTGGAAGGGGGTGGGGGCAGGACGGGACTCTTGAGTCGATTCAAAAGGCAGCTTGGCTTGGCATAGCCCACTGGGAGGGATCCCGTGAAATTGCACTCCTCGAAAGCACTGGAAGGAAGAAAGGAAGGGGGCGTTCTGGCGAAAGGGACTTGTGAGTCGACTCAAAAGGCAGTGTGTTATACCCACTGGGAGAGGTCCTGTGCAGTCTCATTGACTCTCACTGACTCTCACTGACTCACATTGGCTCTCATGGACTCACATTGACTCTCATTGACTCTCATTGACTCAAATTGACTCTCACTGACTCACATTGACTCTCACTGACTCACATTGACTCGTGCTGACTCACACTGGCTGGCTCATATTGATTCACAATGACTCCCATTGACTCACATTGACTCAAGAGACTGAATGCCGCTAAGGAACTCGGGCAGGGCGACGGTGATCTTGGTGTTGAAGCTCAGATCGCTATTGTCTCACATTCACTCAATCACATTGACTCACATTGACTCACATTGGCTCCCATTGACTCCCATTGACTCACATTGACTCCCATTGACTCCCATTGACTCACATTGACTCCCATTGACTCACATTGACTCGAGGGACAGAATGCCACTCAGGAACTCGGGCAGGGCACCGGTGATCTTGGTGTTGAAGCTCAGATCGCTGCAGTGCAGAGGGATACAATGCATGCAGGGGAGGAAACAGTGAGTTGAGGTGTGAGAACGCCCTATAATAGTGTTGGTATTTATTCATGGTGTCGAATCCCCCAGATTGCTGCAGTGCAACACGACGGAGGGGACGACAGACAGAGTGAGGAGTCGCATTAGAGAAGTCACGACGTCACGCGTATCCCATCGATTGTAGTACCACTCACATCACATGTATTGCGTATCGTCAATTCTGGCACGCACATGTATTGAGGCTTCTGCAGGCTGGAGTAGGAGTCCGGAATGGTGCCTTGAAGTTGATTTCCAACACGCACATATTTGTCATCTCACGTGCTTACATCCATCATCGCACCTACCCCCATCACCTCGCATCTGCCCATCATGGCACTCACATGTATCGCAGCTTCTGCAGGTTGGAGTAGGAGTCCGGAACGGTGCCTTCGAGTTGATTGCCCACTGCGTAGCTACAGGGGAAAGAACAAGGAGAGGGAGGGGAGGAAACAGAAAAGGGTGTGGGAGGAGGAGCAAGGGGGGCGAGAAGGGACAACGGCAGAGAGACCGAAGGCAGGAAGTGGGGAAGCGGGAAGGTGGCGAGAGAGTTGGCGGCAAGTGGCAAGTGAGGGGAGCTTGGTTCTGCGTATGTGTGTCTGTGCGTGCAGGTGCACACGTGCGCATGAGCCATAATGCCTCCAGATTGATGAGCAGCGAGGTGAGTTTTGAGTCGACTCGTATTCATGCATGTGCGCGTACGTGCATCTGTGTATGTGTGCATGTCTGCATCTGTGCATGTGTTCATGGTTTCTGCCTGCATGAGCCATGTACGTACAATGCCTCCAGGTTGGAGTGGAGCGTATGTTTTTTTAGAATTCTCAAAACACATATTCTGCCTGCATGAGCCATGCACTTAACGTGCAATGCCTCCAGGTTGGGGAGCGAACTGAGGGTCTCAGGTGTATCTTATCTTGTGTGCATGCATGAATTTGTAAGTGCACGCGTGTGCGCATGTGCGCGTGCATGTGTGTGCATGTGCGCATGAGCCATGCACTTAACGTACAATGCCTCCAGGTTGGGGAGCGAACTGAGGGTCTCAGGTGTATCTTATCTTGTGTGCATGCATGAATTTGTAAGTGCACGCGTGTGCACATGTGCGCGTGCATGTGTGTGCATGTGCGCATGAGCCATGCACTTAACGTGCAATGCCTCCAGGTTGGGGAGCGAACTGAGGGTCTCAGGTGTATCTTATCTTGTGTGCATGCATGAATTTGTAAGTGCACGCGTGTGCACATGTGCGCGTGCATGTGTGTGCATGTGCGCATGAGCCATGCACTTAACGTGCAATGCCTCCAGGTTGGGGAGCGAACTGAGGGTCTCAGGTGTATCTTATCTTGTGTGCATGCATGAATTTGTAAGTGCACGCGTGTGCACATGTGCGCGTGCATGTGTGTGCATGTGCGCATGAGCCATGCACTTAACGTACAATGCGTCCAGGTTGGGGAGCGAACTGAGGGTCTCAGGTGTATCTTATCTTGTGTGCATGCATGAATTTGTAAGTGCACGCGTGTGCACATGTGCGCGTGCATGTGTGTGCATGTGCGCATGAGCCATGCACTTAACGTGCAATGCCTCCAGGTTGGGGAGCGAACTGAGGGTCTCAGGTGTATCTTATCTTGTGTGCATGCATGAATTTGTAAGTGCACGCGTGTGCACATGTGCGCGTGCATGTGTGTGCATGTGCGCATGAGCCATGCACTTAACGTACAATGCGTCCAGGTTGGGGAGCGAACTGAGGGTCTCAGGTGTATCTTATCTTGTGTGCATGCATGAATTTGTAAGTGCACGCGTGTGCACATGTGCGCGTGCATGTGTGTGCATGTGCGCATGAGCCATGCACTTAACGTACAATGCCTCCAGGTTGGGGAGCGAACTGAGGGTCTCAGGTGTATCTTATCTTGTGTGCATGCATGAATTTGTAAGTGCACGCGTGTGCACATGTGCGCGTGCATGTGTGTGCATGTGCGCATGAGCCATGCACTTAACGTGCAATGCCTCCAGGTTGGGGAGCGAACTGAGGGTCTCAGGTGTATCTTATCTTGTGTGCATGCATGAATTTGTAAGTGCACGCGTGTGCACATGTGCGCGTGCATGTGTGTGCATGTGCGCATGAGCCATGCACTTAACGTGCAATGCCTCCAGGTTGGGGAGCGAACTGAGGGTCTCAGGTGTATCTTATCTTGTGTGCATGCATGAATTTGTAAGTGCACGCGTGTGCACATGTGCGCGTGCATGTGTGTGCATGTGCGCATGAGCCATGCACTTAACGTACAATGCGTCCAGGTTGGGGAGCGAACTGAGGGTCTCAGGTGTATCTTATCTTGTGTGCATGCATGAATTTGTAAGTGCACGCGTGTGCACATGTGCGCGTGCATGTGTGTGCATGTGCGCATGAGCCATGCACTTAACGTACAATGCCTCCAGGTTGGGGAGCGAACTGAGGGTCTCAGGTGTATCTTATCTTGTGTGCATGCATGAATTTGTAAGTGCACGCGTGTGCACATGTGCGCGTGCATGTGTGTGCATGTGCGCATGAGCCATGCACTTAACGTGCAATGCCTCCAGGTTGGGGAGCGAACTGAGGGTCTCAGGTGTATCTTATCTTGTGTGCATGCATGAATTTGTAAGTGCACGCGTGTGCACATGTGCGCGTGCATGTGTGTGCATGTGCGCATGAGCCATGCACTTAACGTACAATGCCTCCAGGTTGGGGAGCGAACTGAGGGTCTCAGGTGTATCTTATCTTGTGTGCATGCATGAATTTGTAAGTGCACGCGTGTGCACATGTGCGCGTGCATGTGTGTGCATGTGCGCATGAGCCATGCACTTAACGTGCAATGCCTCCAGGTTGGGGAGCGAACTGAGGGTCTCAGGTGTATCTTATCTTGTGTGCATGCATGAATTTGTAAGTGCACGCGTGTGCACATGTGCGCGTGCATGTGTGTGCATGTGCGCATGAGCCATGCACTTAACGTACAATGCCTCCAGGTTGGGGAGCGAACTGAGGGTCTCAGGTGTATCTTATCTTGTGTGCATGCATGAATTTGTAAGTGCACGCGTGTGCACATGTGCGCGTGCATGTGTGTGCATGTGCGCATGAGCCATGCACTTAACGTGCAATGCCTCCAGGTTGGGGAGCGAACTGAGGGTCTCAGGTGTATCTTATCTTGTGTGCATGCATGAATTTGTAAGTGCACGCGTGTGCACATGTGCGCGTGCATGTGTGTGCATGTGCGCATGAGCCATGCACTTAACGTGCAATGCCTCCAGGTTGGGGAGCGAACTGAGGGTCTCAGGTGTATCTTATCTTGTGTGCATGCATGAATTTGTAAGTGCACGCGTGTGCACATGTGCGCGTGCATGTGTGTGCATGTGCGCATGAGCCATGCACTTAACGTGCAATGCCTCCAGGTTGGGGAGCGAACTGAGGGTCTCAGGTGTATCTTATCTTGTGTGCATGCATGAATTTGTAAGTGCACGCGTGTGCACATGTGCGCGTGCATGTGTGTGCATGTGCGCATGAGCCATGCACTTAACGTACAATGCCTCCAGGTTGGTGAGCGAACTGAGGGTCTCAGGTGTATCTTATCTTGTGTGCATGCATTGTAAGAGCACATGTGCGCATGATGAGCCATGCCATTATGTTATGCCATGTACGTACAATGCCTCCAGATTGGTGAGCGAACTGAGGGCGTCAGGTGTATCTTATCTTGTGTGCATGCATTGTAAGAGCACATGCGCGCATGAGCCATGCCATTATGCCATGCACTTAACGTACAATGCCTCCAGATTGGTGAGCGCGCTGAGGGTGTCAGGCAGGGATCCGGTCAAACGATTCTCGTCCAGCACCCTGCAGAAAGAGAGTGGGGTTGAGGTAGAGAGTGGGTTGTGGTGAGCAGTGGGGTTGAGGTGACTTTTGATTCGCCTCAAAGGGCGCAACAGAGGAGCACGCGAAAGCACAGAGAAGGAAAGAGGGCATGTGCGGGCAGTCTGTGCCATGGGCGGCATGCTAGGCGTCTCAAAACGGAGGCTGAGAGAGTGAGGAACGGAGTACCGCACAAGGTGGCAAGATTCTTGGCATTGCCAAGAGAGTCGGGGATGGGTCCTGTGAACCTGTTGTGGAACAGCGACCTGTGTGGATATAAAAAAGAAAGAGTAAAGGGAGAGTGGGGTTGTGGGGGAAAGGAACAGAGGGGGGAGGATGGGTTTTGAAAAGGTGGTTCAGGAACTGGTAGCATATCAGGGTTCCATTAAGAATTCTCAGTAATGCCAGGCAGTAATACTATGGCAAATCCCATGGGCACTCACAAGTGGTTGAGTCGAGGCCACGAGCCCAGCCAGTCCGGAATGCCCCCCTCAAGAGCATTCGTGGCCACCTTGCTGCAAGGAGAGAAGAGTAGGCGGGATAGGTGAGGGGAGAAGAGGGGAGAAGAGGGGAGAAGGAGGGAAGAAGGGAGAGGGGAGAGGGGAGGGGGGAGGGGAGGGGTGAGTAAACTCAAGTAGACATGGATTCCCCCCTCAAGAGCATTCGTGGCCACCTTGCTGCAAGGAGAGGAGAATGGGCGGGAGAGGGGAGGTGAGTAGAGGGGAGAAGGAGGGGAGAGGGGAGAGGGGAGAGGGGAGGGGGGAGGGGAGGGGTGAGTAAACTAGAGTTAACATGGAATGCCCCCCTCCAGAGCATGTGCTGCCAGTTGAATTGAAATTAGCTCAGCTGACCAATCTATCACCACCACTACTATGCACACATCTAGCACGCTCTAATAAGCCCATAAGTCCACTGTCAGGCTGTCAGCACTCAGAAGAACACCACCTCCCAGCACTTACAAGCAGACTTCCGAGCGAGCACTCACAAGAAGACCATGTTGGTGAGACCAGCGTAGCTCGCAGGCAGAGGGCCGGCGAATTGATTCCCTGCAAGGTTGCTGCAGACGGGGGTGTGGGGAGGAAGGGGAAGAGAGCGAAAGCGGAGAAGGGCGTGGAGAGAACAATGCATGCGAGCTTTGAGAATGGGGAGAGGGGGCAGGCAGTGATCGCTTTCTGCCACGAGGTGCCTAAAATCATAGTGGGAACTTTGTGGGTGCTTCAAAGGGCTCCTTCACTCAAGTCAAAGGGCCTGCAGGGACGTGAGGTGAGGTGAGATGCGCAAGCGACTTCTGAGAGTTGAGATTCGAGCACGCTAGGCTGCTGTTTTTTCTTGTGTACCACTCCACTCACATGGCCTGTAGCGACGTGAGCTGCGCAAACGACTCAGGCAGAAGGCCTGTGAAGTTGTTGTTGGCCAGGGTGCTGCAAGGACAGACGACAGGGAAGGAAGGAGAGGGGCGGAAAGGGGGCGAGGATTGAGTTTTTTTCTGAGGTGCGTAAAAAAAAAAAAAGGAATTCAGGCAGAAGACCTGTAAAGTTGTTGGTGAGGGTGCTGCAGGGACGGATGAAAACGAGCGGCGGGTGGGATAAGAAAGGGGGAGGGGGAGGGAGGGGAAGGGATTGCAGATCGTCACGCACACGCTTTCACGTTGGGAGGAATCAATGGAGCTGTCTGTCAGCTGAGCTGACTGACATGACAGCCATCGTAACAAGCTCATGGCTGGCTGGCTGTACAGACTCATAGCACTGAATGACTGACATGACATGCATACATCCATGAACCGAACTGTGAGCATCCATAACGAATGAATGATACTGACATGGATCGGAGCTTGCTGAGGGCAGTGATGGTATCAGGAACGCTGCCAGAGAAGTGATTCTCTTCCAACTTGCTGTGTATGAGAGGGGAGGGGGGAGATACCAGGGACAATGCAAAAGCACAATGGGCGGAGAGGCAACTCATGTGAGTGATGAAAAGGGAAAGGAAAGACAGGAATCTGAATGGCAGGACCCGAGTAAAATCAGTGGAGTGGATCTGGAACCAACATTGGCAAAAGCACTATGTGTGATAAGTCGATTTTTTAGTCGACTCAAAAGCAGACTCATTACACGCAGTTTTGAGTCGACTCAAAAGCACTAAGTTCAGTGGAGTGGATGCGGAACCAACATTGGCAAAAGCGCTATGCTACCTGTGCTCTGAGAACCCTTTATTTGGGGAAGGCAACTCACAGGTGCAGCAGGTTGGGCATGATAAGCACAGCTTCGGGTGATTAGCGTAGCGTGTGGTCTGAGCTCCTCTGTCGGATGCTCATATTGTAATGTAAGCTAGGCAAGGGAAACTCACAGGTACAGCAGGTTGGGCATCACAAGCACATCTTCGGGGAAATCGCCTGTGAATTTGTTGGTGCTTAGATCCCTGAGATGGGAGGCACGGTGGGTGGTGGGACGGACGGGAACAGGTAGGAGGAGGGAGGGAGAAGGGTTGTGTGGGAACATATGGAAATTGCTGAGTTGAGTTGTCACTAAATACACTGCTTGCTATGATTCGGAAATGAAAGCTTAGGGACACATGCCTAGAGCTGAAATCAGCACCCCAAAAGTCTTTCTTGAGTAAGTGAAAGAGAAAGGAAAGATAAAGGTCTTACAGCGAAGTCAGCCTGGTGAGAGCATTGATGAAGGTTGGGAACCATTGCAGCTGATTGTCTGCCAGGGAGCTGAAGAGGGGAGAGAGAAGCAGGTGAACGGGAAAGAGGGGGAAATGGAGGGGCAGGTTGGGGGGTGACGAATAGAGTAGAATAAGGAGAGCAGCGATATCAGCCTGGTGAGGGCATTGATGAAGGTTGGGAACCACTGCAGCTGTTTGTCCGCCAGGGAACTGAAAGATGGGGAAAGGAAGGAGATGAAGGAAGAAAAGAGGTGAGGGGGAAGATGCGAGCATGGTCAGAAGAACACGGTTTGGAAATACTTAAGATGCGATACGGATACAGCATAAAGACCTGGTGCGGTGCGGTGGTTTACACACGAACGAAGCATCACATCACACCCACTAAGCATCACGCTTACAGGTGCTCCAAGCGCGTGAGTCTCTCCAGAAAATCCTGCTGAATGAAGGATGAGAACTCGTTACCGCCAAGGTCACTGCAGCCAGGCGGAATGAATGGGGTGGCATGGGGAAACAGGACAAATGCATGAGGCAAAACCAAAATGGAGTAAGGGCATGGGTGCCCGTCTTTGAACACACTCAAAGCACAGCCTCAGAAATTGATTTAGACACTTAGAGATGCTGCTGCAGGAATGCTGTGATTCAGTCAGTCCAGTCTTCATAGTAACATCCATCGACTGAGCACTCACAGGTACGTGAGTCGGTTCAGCTGTGCCAGCTCGGCTGCAGGGATGGCTCCTGACAGATTGGCCCGGCGGAGATCACTGCCGAGCACAGGGGGAGCAAACGAGGGAGATGGGGAAGGAAGGGGCGGGAAAGGGCAGGATAAACGGGAAGGGAGGAAGGAAATATGAGGCGCTCGGTCTGTTCAGTTCGGTCTGACTTCTGTTCCCACGTCTGTAGGGCGACTTTCTTTTAGACTACCAAAAGTGTTTTCTGATGCATTTTCCTACAAATCTCGCGGCATAGGACTCACAGGCGGATGACATGGTCGGCCATGGGGTGGCACATGACTTCGGTCTCCCACGTGCCGTCACAGGGATCCGACCCCTGGTCTGCAGAGCGTCTATTTTTTATAACCACTTTTTTTTTGTGTGTGTGTGTGTGATGCATTTTCCTACGTATCTCAAGCGCTGACTCACAGGCGGATGACATGGCCGGTCATGGGGTCACAGATGACCTCTGTCTCCCACGTGCCGCCACAGGGGTCCGACCCCTGGTCCCACGCCTACTAGCGTATTGGCCTTGGCTTTTCGAATCTCAGAGAATGCTTGCAAGAGTTCATCGAGAAATTGTTCAGAGCCGACTCACAGGCGGATGACGTGGCCAGTCATGGGGTCACAGATGACCTCTGTCTCCCACGTACCGTCACAGGGGTCCGACCCCTGGTTCCACGTCTGCCAGGCGTATTGGCCTTGACTTTCGGAAAACTCAGAGATCTTGCAAGCAAGAGAGAATACAAAATTCATAAGAGCCGTCTTACAGGCGGATGACGTGGCCGGTCATGGGGTCGCAGATGACTTCAGTCTCCCACGTGCCGTCACAGGGGTCCGACCCCTGGTCCCACGTCTGCAGGGCGTCTGGGGAGTCCATGCGCAGTGCTGCCTGCAGCGCCACCAGTTGGCCCACTGAGAACGTGAGGAACACGGGGAAATGGAGAAACGGAAAAACATAAGGTCTGTTCTGTGTCTTCCCATAGGTCCCACGTCTGCAGGGCGTCAGGGGAGTCCTGGCGCAGAGCTGCCTGCCGCGCCACCAGCGGGCCCACTGGGAACGGGAGCGTGGGAACGTGGGAATAACAGGAAATTTTTGGTCCCTCTTGTGTCTTCCCTGGTCCCACGTCTGCACTGCAAGGCGTCTGGGGAGTCCATGCGCAGTGCTGCCTGCAGCACCACCAGCGGGCCCACTGAGAACGTGAGGAATGGGGCGAAAAGAGAACGGAAAGCAGCAAGAGGAGGTGATTATAAAGCAAGTTTATCCTTTTAGGGCCTCCCTCTGGTCCCACGTCTGCAGGGCGTCTGGGGAGTCCATGGGCAGTGCTGCCTGCAGCGCCAACAGTGGGCCCAATGGGAGTGGAGAAGTGAGAGAACGAACGGAATAACTCTATATTGTGTCGTGCCGCTTATGGGAATTCTCAAAATGCCCCTGTTGCCACTCCATTCGGAATTCTCCCACCGTCAGGGCAGGGCGGAGCAGTGACGCGAGGGAAATTCAAAGAATATTCGCTAAGGAAGTCACGGGAAAAGAAAAGAAGATAAAGGAAAGAAAGAAAGGAAGGAAAGAAAGAAAGGAAGGAAAGAAAAGAGAATAAAAGAAAAGAAAAAGGAAACAAAGAAAGAAAGAACAAAAGAAAAACAAACAAAACGAAAACTGTCAGGGAGGGTTACTCACTGTCAGGGCAGGGCGGGGTGTTGGCGCCAGGCACAGGAACACCTCCCGGCAGCTGCTGACCAATGGGCACCCCCACTTGCTGCCCAATGCTCCCGGCCCCCGGTCGCTGCTGTGGCACCCCCACATTCTGACTCACAGACCCCCCTCCTTCCCGGTCAATTGGGACCCCGACTTGCTGGTTAACATCCCCCCCTGGCTGCTGGGTGAGGGGATTTCCGACTTGCTGGTCAGGGGGCCCGCCTCCTTGCTGGTCGATGGGGGCGCCTATCTGCTCCTCCCCCCCACCCGGTGCTGCGACTGGGCAGGAAGGGGAGTTGTCGACCACGTTATCAAAGCAGTTGTTCAAGTGACTGGGAGGGAGGGAGGGAAGGAGGGAGGGAGGAAGGAAAGGAGAGATTGTTGAATCGACTCAAAAGGCACTTCCTGGTTGCCCCACCCCACGTCCTTCCCGGTCAATCGGGACTCCCACTTGCTGGCTACCACCAGAGCCCCCCTTGCTGCTGGTCGAGGGCATTTCCGACTTGCTGGTCGGGGGGCCCGCCTCCCTGCTGGTCGATGGGGGCGCCTATCTGCTCCTCCCCCCCACCCGCTGCTGCGACTGGGCAGGATGGGGAGTTGTCGGCCACGTTATCAAAGCAGTTGTTCAAGTGGCTGGGGAACGGAGGGAGCATTCGGGAAGGGAGGAAGGGCGGCAAGGGAGTGTGTTGTGGGCGCGGGTCAGAAAAGGAAAGCCCTCTTGCCCACCCGGCAGTGCTACTGGGCAGGCAGGGGAGTTATCGGCCACTTTATCAACGCAGTTGTTCAAGTGGCTGGGAAACGGAGGGAGTATTCGGGAAGGGCGGCAGTGCTACTGGGCAGGAAGGGGAGTTGTCGGCCACGTTATCAAAGCAGTTGGTCATGTGGCTGGGGCCGGGAGGGTGGGGGGAAGGGAGGGAGGGAGGGAGGGAGGGAGGGAGAGAGAAAGCAGGGGGACCCTCTCGCCCAACCGGCAGAGCTACTGGGCAGGCAGGGGAGTTGTCGGCCACGTTATCAAAGCAGTTGGTCATGTGGGGGACCGGGAGGGAGGGAGGGCGGGAGCAAGGGAGGGTGGGCGGGAAGGGAGTGTGTTGTGGGCAACTACTCGGGATATGTTAGAAGTGTGGGATGGATAATGAGAAATGGGAGCAGAGGGGAGAGGGGGCGAGGGAGGGAGAGAGACATTAAGGCGACCAGCAGTGGGCAACAGAGTTTGAGTCAAGGGATCTATCAACAGTCGGAGACCAATGAGATACACACTACTCAAGCACAGAGGGGTACAGCAACGGGGTTCAGTTAAGTGAGAGATTTTAAACAGGACAGAGAAATGTTACCCAGCCAAGCCAAGCCAACCAGCAGATATGAAGTCTTGAAGTTGTACATACAGAGGCAGAACCCGTTAGTGTCACTCACACAAACTGCATGGGCGAGCCGGGAGGGACCCTGGGAAGTGTGCCCGTGAGGTAGTTCTCTGACACGTCCCTGTGGCGTGGGGGGGAGAGAGGGGAGGGATTTAGAGAGAGAGGGGGTTGCAAATTGGGACCATAATTTGGGACCAAGTTTCCCGCCTGTCGCTCACACAAGCTCTCGGGAGGGACTCTGGGAAGTGTTCCCGTGGGGTAGTTATCTGACACGTCCCTGTGGCGTGGGGGAGAGGGGGTAAGAACGAGGGACTCAGAGGGAGGGGGTTAAAGGGAGAGGTTTAAACTGAGGGGGTTGGGAAGTAAGGGCTCTGTGAGACAACTGGTTGCTGCTGAATTGGAGTGTGACGTGCATGATCCAAGAAAAGGCACAACTCACAGGATGAGCAGCCCCTGCAGCTGCAGTATGCAAGGCGGCACGGGCCCAGTCAGCTGGTTCCTCTCCAGCACACCATTGGTGCTGAGAAAGTGGGTTACATACATGATTTCATAGAAGGCACAACTCACAGAATGAGCAGCCCCGGCAGCTGCAGCATGCACGGAGGCACGGGCCCAGTCAGCTGGTTCCTCTCCAGCACACCATTGGTGCTGAGAAAGTGGGTTACATACATGATTTCATACAAGGCACAACTCACAGAATGAGCAGCCCCTGCAGTTGCAGCATGCACGGTGGCACGGGGCCAGTCAGTTCATTCCTCTCCAGCACCAGCAGCTCCGCCGTTTCCAGCCCACACATGCTCTCAACAATTCGCCCCGTGCGGCGGTTGTTGCTCAGGTAGGGAGAACGACACATTTATCCATGTGTGAGAGGAGAGGCAGAGGCACTCACAGAATGAGCAGCCCCTGCAGCTGCAGCATGCACGGGGGCACGGAGCCAGTCAGTTCATTCCTCTCCAGCACCAGCAGCTCCGCCGTTTCCAGCCCACACATGCTCTCGGGAATCCCCCCCGTGAGGCGGTTGTTGCTCAGGTAGAGCGAGGGACATGACTACTCATGTGTAGGAGTGGGAGGGAGGGACTCACAGAATCAGTAGCCCCTGCAGCTGCAGCATGCAAGGCGGCACGGGACCAGTCAGCTCATTCCTCTCCAGCACCAGCAGCTCCGCCGTTTCCAGCCCACACATGCTCTCGGGAATGCGCCCCGTGAGGCGGTTGTTGCTGAGGTAGAGAGACACGATGCGCGGGAAGTGCCCGTACGCCTCGGGAATGGTTCCCTCAAAGCGGTTGTGCTCGAGGAACAGTTCGGTGAGATAGGGCAGGCGGGAGAGGGACTCGAGCAGCCCACCGGTGAAGTCGCAGTCGTCCAGAGAGCTGTCGGAAAGGGAGGGAGGGACAGGGAAGGGGAAGTGGAAGGTTGGGAGGCGGGCAGGGAAGGAGGGAATGGAGACATCGAAGCGGTTGTGCTCAGGAAAAGATTCGGTGAGGTAGGGTAGACGGGAGAGGGACTCGAGCAGCCTACCGGTGAAGTTGCAGTCGTCCAGAGAGCTGTTGGGGAGGGGGGGACAGGGGAGCGGAGGGAGGTAAGTGGGAATGGTTCCCTCAAAGCGGTTGTGCTCGAGAAAGAGCTCCGTGAGGTAGGGCAGACGAGAAAGGGACTCGAGCAGCCCGCCGGTGAAATCGCAGTCGTCCAGAGAGCTGTTGGGGGGGGGGGGAGGGAGGGAAGGCCAAAGTGGGGAAGTGGAAGGGGAAGAAAGGAAGGAATGGTTCCCTCGAAGCGGTTGTGCTTGAGGAACAGTTCGGTGAGGTAGGGCAGGCGGGAGAGGGACTCGAGAAGCCCACCGGTGAAGTCGCAGTCGTCCAGAGAGCTGTTGGGGGGGGAGGGAAGGAGGGAAGGCGGCAAGGAATGGTTCCCTCAAAGCGGTTGTGCTCGAGGAATAGCTCCGTGAGGTAGGGCAGGCGGGAGAGGGACTCGAGCAGGCCGCCGGTGAAGTCACAATCGTCCAGAGAGCTGTTGGGAAGCGCACAACAGGGGGGGAGGGAAGTGGAAGGGTGGCAGGCAGGGAAGGAGGGAATGGTTCCCTCGAAGCGGTTGTGCTCGAGGAAAATCTCCGTGAGGTAGGGCAGGCGGGAGAGGGACTCGAGCAGGCCGCCAGTGAAATCACAGTCGTCCAGAGAGCTGTGCAAGACGAGTTGGGGAGAGAGTGGGTGGAGAGTGGTTCAGGTCGGTCAGGTTGTGAAGGGGTAAGTGCCCGTATGCCTCGGGAATGGTTTCCTCAAAGTGGTTGTGCTCGAGACTCACAGTGACGACTGAAGTGACTCCCCTTTCCCTCCTCCTATTTAACGTGAGCACCGTTGACTCCGTTGACTCACAGTGACTGCAGTGAGTCCCCTTCTCCTCCCACCCCCCTTCCCCCTGCCTTGTAATCAACGTGAACACCATTGACTGCGTTGACTCTGTTGACTCACAGTGACTGCAGCAGACCGAGCTCGCCCAGGAAGCTGGGAAGAGGGCCGGTGAGGTTCTTGTTGGAACTCAGGTCCCTGGTAAGCGGGGGAGAGACGGGGGGAGGGAGAGAGGGAGAGAGGGAGAAAGGGGAAAAGGGAAGAGGAATTTAGGGATGTGTTTTTCAAGCCTTGGTCACAAGAAGAGGGGGGGAGTGGGGGGGAGGGGGGACAAGGGCCAGGTATGGAATGGCTGACAAGAGTGGACGAGGAAGGACTTTTGAGGCGCCTAAAAAAATCAAGCATGGTCTCAAGTAAAGGGGAGGAGTTGGGGGAAGGGGTGACGATAATTTAGGAACACAGGTATGGAATGGCTGACAAGCGTGGACGAGTAAGGTGGTGTAGCAGCCGCTCACCCCAAAACCTTCCCTTCTCCCCCCACGCCCTCTTTCAAGAAAACAAGAGACAAAGCAAAGGGGCACGTACAAGCGGCGGAGGTTCCTGAGGATGGCATAGGTGTCTGGGATGGTGCCTTCAAAGCGGTTGAGATCCATCTTCCTGCCACCACACCACACCACACCACACACCATTATGTCATGTCATGCAAGCAAATGGCATTCCATGTGAATCATGCAAGCCAGCCAGGATGCAACACAGAAGCAAGCCCCGTAGCAGGCAGACGGACATGATATGTGAGTGCGGGTGATGGTGCTTATAGGAAGGGTTAGGCTAAGGGGTGAGGGGATGAGGAAGGAAAACATGGACACTCCAAGCAAGGAGCTGTTGGGACACTGAAGCATAACACCACGGCTATCTGTTAGACAGCATAATAATCGAGAATGACAGAAGCAGGCTTCTAAAACGTACACAGTACGTTATGGAGAGTGAATTGCACGATCACACTCACAGGTTGACCAGGTCATGCATGGCGCAAGAACTGGGGAAGCTTTGAGACGTCGCAAAATTTTAGACGTCTCAAGCACACATGTAAATGACACAAAGAACGTCATAAACAGTGAATTGCTCGTTACAACTCACAGGTTGACCAGGTCGTGCATGGCACCAAAGAACTGGGGAAGAGGCCCATAGAAATCGTTCTTCCCAAGGTTTCTGCAAGATCATGGCATGGGTGCGGGCAGTCCGGGACGGGAAAGGGTGGACGAAAGGTGAGCGAAGGAATCAAAAGGAGACTGCCACTCCTCATCAAGTTAAATCTCGCAACTGCACGTGACGTCACAACACAAGTACAAAAAGGAGATGCAAGTGGTGCTGTGTTGTTGGCTACGGTTTCAGAGGAGACTTAATGACAGTGTGTACAACGTCTTGATGACGCATAGGCCCGTGGTAATCTTGTTCACGTCTGAGACGGGTCGCCTCAAAAGAATGTTCTTACAGCGTCTTGAGGCGGACAAGGTTGCTGAGAGCGCGAGGCACACTCCCTGTGAACAGGTTGTTCTCCAACGACCTGTGTCGGTCGGGCAGGTGGAGGCATTGAGGGGAAGCAATTTCGAGAAAGGGAGAAAGGGAGGACATTGAGAGAGCACATAGGGCGAGAGAGGGAGGAGCAAGCAAGAGCGTGGGTGAGACAGAGGGGGGAGCCAAGTTGGAAAAACGCAAGGTGCAGAGTGAGGAGCAGGGTGAGAAGGCACAAAGCAAGAAGGCACAAAGCGAGAGGGCACAGCAACGATGCGGGCAGGACAAGCAAGCGTTGGGGGCAGAGAGAGACTCACAGCACTTCGAGGTTCCGAAGCTGGAAGATGTCTGCAGGGATCTGACCGTCAAACTTGTTGTTGCTCAGATCGCTGCAAGAGTGGGTGGGATGGGAAGGTGAGCGCGGGAAAATCGTCAAAAGAATCATGGGTAGAGGGGGGGAAGGGAAGGGAAGGGAAGGGAGTCCATTGGGATTAGACCGTCAAACTTGTTGCTCAGATCGCTGCAAGAGTGGGAAGGTGAGCGCGGGAAAATTGTCAAAGGAATGATGGGGAGAAGGGGAACGGAAGGGCCAGCAGCTGAAAGATGTCCATTGGGATTAGACCATCGAACTTGCTGTTGCTCAGATCGCTGCGGGAGTGGAGGGAGAGGCGCGAAGAAAGTTTGGTCGGGATGGGAAGGCGAGCGAGAGTGGGAAAATCGTGGGAAGGTATGATGGCGAGAAGGGTAGTATGTTCACACTCACAGGAAGGTGAGGCTGGTGATCATATCCACATCAGTGGGGAACCACTTCATGTTGTTCTTTGCGAGGGACCTGGATGGACCATGGAAGGAAAGAGCCAATCAGATGGAAAGGGCTCTTCAGGGTGATGGTAATGAGATGAGACACTGATCCAGGACCACCAGGAATGAAAGAGCACAGCACAGGGAGCGACAGAAAGCCTAGAAGCAAGCAAGCAGCGCGATGAACTTGGTGGGAAAAAAGGGCGTACAGTACAGAGGTGCTGCAGGGCAGGCTGGTCATCTGCACGATGAACGCCTGGCCGTTGAACGCAGAGAAGTTGACTTGTGAGTCGACTCAAAAGTCACCTTGTTGAATCGACTCAAAAAGTCAAGGGAGGACGTACAGGTGCTGCAGGCTGGTCATCTGCACGATGAACGCCTGCCCGTTGAATGCGGAGAAGTTGTTGGCTGCCAGATCGCTGGAGAGGTGTGGAAAAGGGGGAAGGGGGGAAAGGGTGGGGGAGGAAGGAAGGAATCAGATCATCCTTTAGCCGATAAACGCCTGACCATTCGGAGAGGGTGTTGCGGGCAGCTCTAATGCCGATGATGGGGTTAAGAAAGGAAGAACCGAATGAGCGACAGGCGACAGGGGCGGACGCGTGTTACAGGTGTGTGTGAGAGCGTATACATGTGCGCATACAGGTATATGAGTGCATGCTTGTGCTGCCGAATTACAGATAAGCGAGAGCATGCATGTGCGCTTACAGGTAAGTGAGAGCATGCATGTGCGCTTACAGGTAAGTGAGAGCATGCATGTGCGCTTACAGGTAAGTGAGAGCATGCATGTGCGCTTACAGGTAAGTGAGAGCATGCATGTGCGCTTACAGGTAAGTGAGAGCATGCATGAGCGCTTACAGGTAAGTGAGAGCATGCATGTGCGCTTACAGGTAAGTGAGAGCATCAAATTGAGAGAACTCAAAGGTGGGGATGTTCCCAACGAGGCCCGCCCGCTTGAGATCCCTGTGGTGATGGGAGCAACCCAGCCCAGCAGCAGAGCAGCCCAGAAGCCCGGCCGCAGAGAAGCAGAGCAGCATACGACAGGAAGAAAGATAATGGGGAGAGGACACGGGTGCAATGAGAGATGGCGTGGTGAGGGAGTGGTGAGGAGGGGGAAGATGTTGTCGGGAAATGGTGACGGCGTGAAGAGGAGGGTGGGAAACATGGGACAGGTGGCGCACATGGGTCTCGCATGGACACATGGGAACACATGCATGGAGAATGGCAGCAACGAGTCACAGTGGTCACAGCGGATGTCAGTGGTCAAAGCCTTCTGGTATGGCATGTGGCATGGACACACGAGACAGGCCGCTGCATGTGAGTGAACAACCAGCCACTCACAGATGCACGACGCGGCGGGTGACGGGGTCACAGCGGATGTCAGTGGTCCAGGCTTTCTCACAGGGGCTCCCCTCCCCTCCCCACGTCGACAGCACCCCAGGGGCCGTTGACTGCAATGCTGCCTGCAGCTGCAGCAGCGCCGCCACTGGGGGTTTAAGGGGGAAGGGGAGAGAGTGGGGGGGTGTGGGGGGAGGGGGAGGGGAGGGTGGATATCAATGGTTCAGGCCTTCTCACAGGGATCGCCTTCCCCTCCCCACGTCGACAGCACCCCAGGGGCCGTTGACTGCAGCACTGCGTGCAGCTGTATCAGCGCCACAGCTGAGGAGGAGACGGGCGCAGTGAAGGGTGGAGGAAGGCAGTCGCTTCAAGCAGCATATGATGAAAAGGCCATCGAACACTTCTGCTCGTCTGGTGCATTTACCGACTGACTGCCTGGCGTCTGCTGCGGGCCAGCGTCGGCTGCACCGCACCGCACCGCACCGCACCGCACCACACTCAGCTGTGCATTCGTCCCAAGCAGATTTGATTAGAAGGTCACCCAGATGACACCTTCGTGTCAAACACCTCTCTCCGATGCACGTGAATTACTGTCAGGCGTCTGCTGCGGGCCGGTGTCGGCAGCACCCAGCAGCAAAGGGTGCAGCGAGAGCAGCGCCACCAGCAGCAGCACGAATGGCAGGTCCAACCCGCGCCTTCCGCTCACAGGTATAGAGGGCGCCATGGCTGGGAGGGAGATGGGAGGGATTTGCGGAGCGAGGGAAAAGAAGAAAGCAGCGGATAGGAGGGGAAGTGATTCAAATAATTCAGGGTGCAGCGAGAGCAGCGCCACCAGCAGCAGCAGGAACGGCAGGTCCAGCCAGCGACTTCCGCTCACAGGTGTAGAGGGCGCCATGGCAGGGAGATGGGAGGGACAGGCGGAGGGAGGGGAGGAAAGAAGGAAACCGGTTACGTAGGGACGTGATTTAAGTCAAGCAGTCTAGGTTGCAACCGTTGCAACGGGAGCAGCGCCAACAGCAGCAGCACGAACGGCAGGTCCAACCGGCAGACTCGTGCGTTTGCTTTCACTGTCCGTTTCTGAAATGTCTGAAATGTCGCTGAGCGGGATCCTGTGTCCGAGACGGGGACGAGCCTACTATACATTATGGGGTTCGTTCTCGTAATAGACACGTTCGTGATTCGTGCCGCGCTGCCATGCGAGCACTTTTGAGACGTCTCAAAAGAGAGCACTGTCCAAAAGCTCGCATTGAGACGCATAGGCAACCCGCATCAAGAAGCGGATTCCCATTTTAAGTCGACTCGAAAGCACTCGCACACGAATCAAACAGCGGCCGCATACGGCGTTTACGCGCGAATCGGTTCAGAGGTCGTGTACGGAAGAAGACGGCGTGGACAGACAGACTGATCCCCGCTGTAATCTGACACTTCCCAAAGGCTGTCGTTTTCGAGTCGACTTCAATCAAAAAAAAAATCGGCATTCGACGGTTCAGAAAACGTGTGAACAGGCCGCGTGGATAATCGCCTGTAGGCTCACTCCCTCCATCGTTAACGTCAGCGAGCATGACATTTTCGACATACGCAGTTGCGAACTTTCATGTCATACGACATGTTCGAACTAAGACGATGCAAAAAGTGTGTGAACAAACCGTACACAGCCGCGACCTATTCCACACACACGATGCAGAGTCAATACTGCAGCTGCGACGAAGGAACATGTTTCGCAAATGAAACGATTTCTTTGTTTGAAAGTCAACATTAATGTTGTTGTGGGAATATTTGTAGGAAAGGCGGCTGGGACGCTCGGCAACGACCCGGCTCAGCGTCAGGCAGCCTCGCAACCTTACCAAAGCTGGGCAAATTATTACGCGAATTATCAACAAGCATTGTCGATGCACAAGAAAGACTCTAGGCAGCATTACGTCAAGAAAATGCACCGGCGCGACATACGCTACATTAAGGTGTGACGCCGGACGAAAGGATATGCGAAAGTTGGGTACCAGAAGGCGAAACATGGAATTGCAATGACAGGCGTTCGAGATAGTCGGCGGCTTCCTGCCATTCGTCATATCTGCGATGAATGCAACACTGAACACTAACTTGCAAATCTCGCGAAGTCCATTGTTTTACGTAGCACTGACATTTTAGAAGGCATTGCGAGTTACGTAGACTCTCACCTGTCCACGTCGACAGCGGTCAGAACTTTTTCAAAACCGTCGCCTTCTTTTCCGTCTTAGAACAGCAAACTAGGATGGGAGACAACCAGAAGCTATCCTAATCCCAACCCTAACATAGCAAACGTGGCAGTATTGAATGCAGCACCAACACGGAGAGAGAATCTTCCCGTAGTCTGTCCTGTTCCTGAAAACCAGGTTCTGGTTCTGGCCCTGAATGAACCAAGATTTGAGAATGCTTTCTGAGAGAGGAAGGATGGATGGATGGACGGGTGGGTGGGTGAGGGGGATGACGGTGGGGGAGGTGGACAGAGAGGGATGGAGAGGAGTACGCGTGGGTGGAAGTGGAATTAGAAAGGGATGGGGATGCTGGCGGATTGTCTTGCTGGCTGCAAGAAACCATCAGAGGGGGGAGGCTGGCACGGTAAGGCAATGTTTCCGAGCCTATCGCGCTGCTTGGAATTGCCCTCGTGTTTTTCAAGGCACATCCAACCGTTTGTAGGCCTCATTGCAGGCATCCTGGTCGTCTGTTTCATCCTTGCCGTTACGCTCGCCCCCAATCAGAATCAGATACGGCATAAATCCTTGAATTTTGATGACTATGATGAACATATCGATATCTTTCCTTGAAAACTCCGAACGCTTTCTTGAAAGCATCGTCCCAACCCAACCTCGAGTCGTTCAAAAGGGGGTCGTCAAACTCGCACAGATTCCATTCCATTTCCTCCCGACAGAGGGGGGGAGATTCGGGATGAGACGTGACTCAAACAGTAGTAGCAAAAATTACGGTTCAGTAAGTTCCGTAACGTTCCAGACGGATATGTCGACCTGATTTGTTGAGAACGAATTCCGAATGCCTGACAGACAGATACACCTCCATGAATTCCTGCCATGCCAGCATTTCACAGACCAATCTACTTCCGATGCTTCCATCTTCATCTTCTCTTCATCCCTTGTTTTTTCACTCCTCGCCAAGGAAGCTGGTCGAGATTGTTTATTAGATAGTGCCATTTTCGCGTTCTCTTTCCGCATTTCAGCACGCAACTCCATGCTCCTTGCCTGGTGTAATGCCCAGGGCTATTATAATGGCGGTTACAAGGCTTTTATAATATTCCAATACAAAATAGTAGCTTTAACTAGCCTTAATAGCCTTGGAGATGAAGATCTTCTTGATGCCTTTGATGAAAAGCACTTGGAGTAGTAGTGTAGGGAGACTTGTGAGAGAGCCCAAAAGGACTTAGAGAAACAATCCCATTTCCAATTGTTTTGTTGGAGTGGGAGGTTGAGAATGAGCTTGCTTAGCTCAGACCCCCTCAATACACCCCTTGGGGAACTATCCCAACCATGGTTTCCATGGTGGGATGGTTCCTAGGCTTGGAGCCTATGTGGCAATTGTGTTGGGTTGGAAAACCCAACTTAGAACCATTCAATGGTTGTGTTTAGGATAGAGTAGATTGTAACACTTGTTTGGCAGTTTCTGATTGGTTGGAATTCCAACCTTCAACATTCTCTTGGTTGAGTTGGAAATGTTCCAAACCTCCAAAGTTGAGGCTTGGCAAACCCAAACCAAGTTTCATCCCAACCAACTCAACCATCTTCTCCAACTCTTCCTTTGTCGAGAGAAGTTCTCAACAATTGACTTAGAGAGAGATCGATGGTTGTTAGCTCGGTAGTTAGGGTAATACGTTACACCTGGAGCACCTGCCACGTGCATTGCTCCGTGCATCTGACACCGAATCCCGCATTGTTACACGCTCGTCGTCCCCTTGCTTTGGTGTATCTTAACAATTCCCAGCAACCACTTGCGAATCCGGCGACAAATCCGGCACCGTTACACGCTTGTCGTCCACGACCTTCGTGCCTCTTCGTCTCGCGCTCACCGCGCTTCCCATCGCTGCCGAGAAACGGACGCCCTAAATTCTTCAAAAAGAGCTATCCGGCAGTGTTCGCCGGGGAAGTTGCGGGGGGAAGCGCGAGCATTGGCGGAGATTGCGGTGTTGAATTCGGGAATTTGCGCGGAATGGGGGGAGGAGTGGCGGAGGTGTTGCGCGGGCGGTGGTGGGAGGATCAATCGATGTTTGGGTACAAGCGGGAGAGAGCTCACGTGCCTCTGCACTCCCATGCGAGCGTCGACGGTACGGATGATTACAGTGACATGTGATGCCGTTGAGGAGACATGCTACACACGCATGTTCATAATGCCTGTTTGATATTGCATACTCAAGATTGCACGTGCCTCTGCTCACACATGCGAGCGTTGACGGTACAGATGATTACAGTGACATGTGATGCCGTGGAGGAGACATGCTACACATGCATGTTCATAATGCTTGTTCTATAATGCACGTTAAAGATTGCCTGTTCTTACATCGCATCACCATGAACGTTATTAATCATGGCATTGTCAACATTGATTTGATTGTCCAGCGCTGAGCATTGGATCTTCAGAGATTCATCACGCACGAAAAGCACGAGCATGCTCACCACTTACACAATGACCATGCCTCCCCTGCTTCCTATCTCCCAACACCCCATCAGACGCCCTTCGTTTCTGGTACCACCGAGACAGAGCAGCCACGTTCGAGGCAGCAGATGCTGCCACCTGGGCGCCTGGAGCTGGCGCTGACGTGGCAGCGGTACGGAGCGCCAGGTGGTGGGTCCACGGGCTGCCACGTGTAGCCTCTCTGAGCGGCTCCTGGCGGTTCCGGCTGTTCCCGAGGCCTGAGGAAGTTCCCGAGGGTTTTTTTGCGCCTGGATTTGATGTCTCTGATTGGTCAACGCACCCAGGTAATGGGTTCGTGAGAAGTGGTGGCCTTAAAAGATTGCCCTTAAGCTTGATTCCGACTTTGCAGATTTACCCCTATACCAGGACCAGCCAGCCTCTCACATTTACAGTCCTCCTCCTTTTTTGCGAACATTTCTCCCTCCCTCCCTTCCTCCCCCTCGCTTCCTCTCGCCCTTCCCCTTCTCTCCTCCTCTGTCAAACACCCCCCGCCTCTCTTGCCCTTCCCCCTTCCCCTCCTTGCCCCCCTGCATGCAGTCCCATCCCACTGGCAGCTGCAGCTTCAGCAAAAGAAGCAGAAAAAACAGCAGCAGCAAGCAGCAGAAACGGGAAGAGACGAAGCAACGTCAGCTGCAGCTGCAGTTAACGATTCAACAGTATCGTCACCACCCACACCTTCTGCAACACCATCAGCAGCATCAGCACCAGCAGCAGCGTCAGCGGTGGCAGCAGCAGCAGCAGTGTGGGCATCAGAGGAAGTTGAAGATCCACCCATCTACACCAACATCCAGTATCCCTTCCCCATCCAGCCGCCCTTCGTCCCCACTGACAACCCCACTGCCTGCTACCGCCGCCGCTTCTCCCTCCCCGCCTCCTGGTCAGGTGAGCTTTTATCTTTCCGGGTTTCAGTGAGGTGGCTCCCCTCCCCTCTCTCCGTGCTTACATGCAACCCCTTCCAGGCCAGCTCGACTTTTTCACAAAGTCCCTCCTACTCAAGCATCCCCCGCCCTTCTCGTCCCGTCCCTCTCCCTGCTGTCATCAACCCCCTTGCCAGGCCAGCACATCACGCTGTGCTTTGAGGGTGTGTACTCCGCCATCCACGTGTGGCTGAACGGGCACTATGTGGGGTATAGCCAGGACAGCCGTCTCCCTGCAGAGTTCAACACTCCACGCCCCTCCCTCTCACACATCCCCTGGCAGGCCAGCACATTACTCTGTGCTTTGAGGGAGTGGACTCCGCCATCCACGTGTGGCTGAATGGGCACTACGTGGGGTACAGCCGGCTCTTAACACTCAAAAACCAGCGTCTCTCATTCCCCCTACGACCCCCCCTGGCAGGCCAGCACATCACGCTGTGCTTTGAGGGAGTCGACTCTGCCATCCACGTGTGGCTCAACGGTCACTATGTGGGGTACAGCCGGGACAGCCGTCTCCCTGCAGAGTTCAACACTCCACGCCCCTCCCTCTCACACATCCCCTGGCAGGCCAGCACATTACTCTGTGCTTTGAGGGAGTGGACTCCGCCATCCACGTGTGGCTGAATGGGCACTACGTGGGGTACAGCCGGCTCTTAACACTCAAAAACCAGCGTCTCTCATTCCCCCTACGACCCCCCCTGGCAGGCCAGCACATCACGCTGTGCTTTGAGGGAGTCGACTCTGCCATCCACGTGTGGCTCAATGGTCACTATGTGGGGTACAGCCGGGACAGCCACCGCCCTGCAACTGAACTCTCACGAATCTGTCTCTCTCATTACCCCTCCCACTTCCCCTCCCTTGCCAGGCCAGCACATCACTCTGTGCTTTGAGGGAGTGGACTGAACGGGCACCACGTGGGATACAGCCAGGACAGCCTCCTGCCTGCAACTCAACACTCCGAGACCTGTGTTTCCCACTCCCCCTTCCCCTCCCTCTCGGTCCTTTCCCCTGGCAGGCCAGCACATCACGCTGTGCTTCGAGGGTGTGGACTCCGCCGTCCATGTGTGGCTGAACGGGCACTACGTGGGATACAGCCAGGACAGCCGCCTGCCTGCAACTCAACACTCCCAGTGCCCCCACTCATACAACCCCCTTTTCACTGCCTGTGTTGCCATGCTAACTCCCTGGCAGGCCAGCACATCACTCTGTGCTTCGAGGGGGTTGACTCCGCCATCCACGTGTGGCTGAACGGGCACTACGCGGGATACAGCCAAGACAGCCGCCTCCCTGCCGAGTTCAACGTCACACCTTATTGTATCACGCGTGGGAAGGAAAAGGGCGAAGAAGGCACTTCCGAGGGGAGGAAACGCGAGGGGAAAACTCGTGAAGCAGAGGAGAAAGTGCGGGTGGGAGGGGAGGTGGAGAGAGCAGGGGATGGGGAGGAGGGGGATAGGGAGGAGAGGGAGGGGGAAGGGGAAGGGGAGAATGTGTTGGCGGTGATGGTGGTGCGGTGGAGCGATGGGTCGTATCTGGAGGACCAGGACCACTGGTGGCTGTCTGGCATGCACCGCGACGTCACTCTGCTGTGCCGCCCGCAGGTGAGATTCGATTTCATTCCTTGACAGTTCAGGTGGGGCCTGAGGTGGAGAGAAAGGAAACCAGAGAAGGGGATGCGGATGGGATGGAATGGGGATGGGTATGGGGATGGGGACGGACGGGGTTGGGGTTGGGGATGGGGACTGGTGAGGGGGATGGGGAAGGGGAAGGGGAGAATGTGTTGGCGGTGATGGTGGTGCGGTGGAGCGATGGGTCGTATCTGGAGGACCAGGACCACTGGTGGCTGTCTGGCATGCACCGCGACGTCACTCTGCTGTGCCGCCCGCAGGTGAGATCTTATTCTCCACTCTGTCGGGTTCGATTCACTCCATCTGGCCCCACAGCCAAGCTCTTCATCCTCTCCCCTCCCCTGTGAACTGGGGTATTCGAGGACCATAGGTGACTTGTTTAAGAACCGAGGGCATATGAAGTTCTTAGTTCCAATCAACTGTTTCCTGACCTGTACCTGTTTTCTATATGTTCCTGTGTGCTGTGAACCTCCTTCAGGTGCATATAGCGGATTTGGAGGTGAAGACTGAAGTGTCTGACGACATGCAGTCTGCAACGGTCAAGGTGAGATGGTTGATTCCGCTCATACGGTTGTACATGGTTGTATGTGGTTGTGTGTGGTTGTATGTGGACTTGGAGGTGAAGACTGAAGTGGCTGACGATCTGCAGTCTGCATCGGGGAAGATGCGATGCTTGCTGCTTCTTGGTGCTTCGAGAGGGGTCTGTGGGTGGGTGTATGGACGGCTTTTGAGGCGCCTAAAAAGTTGTATGTGGGTCTGTGGGTGGGTGTATGGAGGGCTGTATTAGGTGCTGCCGAAAGGCTGGCTTCTTAATACTTAATAATACTCCATACACCTAATACTCCCTACTTCCTCCCTCCCTTCCTCCCCTTCTTTCATTTTCCTCCTCCTCCTCCTCCCTCGAGCTCAGCTAGAGGTTCTGCTGGAGGGCTGGCCCCGCTGCGACATCCAATCCCTGCTTGACAGCTGTCACGTCGAGGCCTACCTCTTCGACGCGTGGCGCTCCCCCCCACCGCCGCCATCTCAGCACCCCTTCTCTCCCTCCTCCTCCTCCTCCCCCTCCGCCGATCCTTCCTCCTTTCCCTCCTCCTCCCTCTCCTCAGTCCCCATGTCCCCCACCTCCTGTCCCCCTAAAGACCCTGAATTAGACGATTTAGAAGCGCTGAGGCTCCCTGAAGCGGCGGTTTTCCAGGCTGTGGGGTTGGGAGTGGGCGATAAGAGAGGAGAAGGGGGAAGTGGGGGAGGGGAAGGCGTGGGAGTGGGAGGAGGAGGGGGAGAGGGGAGTGGAGGATGGAAGGATGATAAGGTGGTGGTGATTGGGAACATGATGCGAGTGCGGATGGAGGCGCAGGTGGATAAGGACAAACTTGTGCTGTGGTCTCCTTATCAGGTGAGAAGGAAACATCAGATGTGGGGCCGAAAAGGACTAATTCAAATGCTGAAACCACGTGAACACTAGATTCTCTTCTCCCCTTACCCCTCCCACTTTCCTTCGCTTCCTCCACTCCCCCCACCCCTCAGCCACACCTCTACACGCTGGTGGTGACGCTGGCAGATGCCTCGGGGCGGCCACAGCAGGTTGAGGCGGCGAGGGTGGGGGTGAGACGGGTGGAGGTGCGGGGGAGAGAGCTGCTGCACATCCCTGATCTCTCATCCCTCTCCCTTCCTCTGATCCCCTATTCCCCAGCCACACCTGTACACGCTGGTGGTGACGCTGGCAGATGCCTCGGGGCGGCCACAGCAGGTGGAGGCGGCGAGGGTGGGGGTGAGACGGGTGGAGGTGCGGGGGAGAGAGCTGCTGCACATCCCTGATCTCTCATCCCTCTCCCTTCCTCTGATCCCCTATTCCCCAGCCACACCTGTACACGCTGGTGGTGACGCTGGCAGATGCATCAGGGCGGCCACAGCAGGTGGAAGCAGCGAGGACTCCCTGGTCCCTGAACTCTCAAACCTCCCACAACCCCCTCCCCCTCCCGCACCCCAGCCACACCTGTACACGCTGGTGGTGACGCTGGCAGATGCGTCGGGGCGGCCACAGCAGGTGGAGGCAGCTAGGGTGGGGGTGAGGCGGGTGGAGGTGCGGGGGAGAGAGCTGCTGGTGAACGGGAAGGCAGTTGAGGTGAAAGGGGTGAACCGGCACGAGCACCATCCACAGACCGGGAAGGTCAACATCGAAGAGTGCATGGTCAAAGTAAGTCAACCCTGGTCAAGGGCTGGTAACGCAGGTGGTGAGTCAACGCTAGTCAATGCTGGTCAAGGTGTGAATGGGAGGGCTGTGGAGGTGAAAGGGGTGAACCGGCACGAGCACCACCCGCAGACTGGGAAGGTCAACATCGAAGAGTGCATGGTCAAAGTAAGTCAACGCTGGTCAAGGGCTGGTAACGCAGGTGGTGAGTCAACGCTAGTCAATGCTGGTCAAGGTGTGAATGGGAGGGCTGTGGAGGTGAAAGGGGTGAACCGGCACGAGCACCATCCACAGACTGGGAAGGTCAACATCGAAGAATGCATGGTCAAGGTGAGTCAACGCTGGTCAACCCTGGTCAAGGTGAGTCAACGCTGATCAGTCTGAGTCAATGCTGGTCAAGGTAGGACTTATGCTTCTTGCTGTCCTCTTTCCATTCCCTCACTCCTTCCCGCACTCCCTCATCGCTCCCTCCCACTTCCTGCTTTACCAGGTGGTGGGATGGGAGATGAAACGACGTTCATCGCTCTGATATCCTGTTCCCAGTCCCTCGCTTCCTCCCTGCTCTTACCTCCCCATGATCTGGTGGAGATGAAGCAACACAATGTGAACGCTGTGCGATGCAGCCACTACCCCAACCACCCTCGCTCCTTCCCTGCTCTTTCCGTGCTCCCTCCCTGACTCCTCCCTGCTCCCGCCTCCCCAGGATGTGGTGGAGATGAAATGGCACAACGTGAATGCAGTGCGCTGCAGCCACTACCCCAACCACTCATGGTGGTACGGTGGTCTGAGTCTTCTGTTTCCTCACTCCCTCCCTGCTCCCTCCCTGGCCCCACCTTCCCAGGATGTGGTGGAGATGAAGCGGCACAACGTGAACGCAGTGCGCTGCAGCCACTACCCCAACCACTCCCGCTGGTACGCCGCCCTGAATGGCCATTTTCACTCCCTGTAAGCTCCCCGTTCGCCTGCTCACAACAACCTGCAACACACACACACACACACACAGCCATTGTCCATCATCATTCCCATCCCCATCCTCATAATGGCCATTCTCTCTTCCTGTTAGCTCCCGTTCGCCTGCTCACAACAACCTGCAACACACACACAACACAGCCATTGTCCATCCCCATTCCCATTCCCATGCTCATGCCCTTGTGGCTTGCCCACGCCATGCTCATTCCCATGTGGAAACACATGCCAATCCTCCCATCCATCTCCTCCCTCTCTCCCTTCAGGTACGAGTTGACAGATCTCGTTGGCCTTCTCGTGATAGTCGAGGCCAACATAGAGACGCATGGGTTCGATCCAGACAACCACCTTAACAGGAAGGGGCTCGATTATATTGCCATGCATATTCCCCTCCCGTCCCTCTCCTCCTTCCTCCTCCCCTCTCAGGTACGAGCTGACCGATCTTTTTGGCCTCCTAGTGGTAGACGAGGCCAATATCGAGATGCACGGGTTCGATCCAGACAACCACCTCAGCAGGAAGGGGCGGCAGCCGGCCGAGGACCCCGAGTGGGCGGCAGCAGCAAGACACATGGATTTCAACTCAACCCTTGAGCCCGAGATCATTCTCCTCTCTCCCTTCCCTCTCTCCCTTCCTTCGCTTCTGACTTCTTCCTGCTTCCGTGCATCTGTATCCTCCCTCTCTCCGCCCCAGGTACGAGCTAACAGATCTCTTTGGCCTCCTAGTAATCGATGAGGCCAATATCGAGACGCATGGGTTCGATCCAGACAACCACCTCAACAGGAAGGGGCGGCAGCCGGCCGAGGACCCGGAGTGGGCGGCAGCGATGGGCGCGAGGGTGATGCGCATGTGCGAGCGCGACAAAAACCATGCGAGCGTGGTGGTGTGGTCGCTGGGGAACGAGGCCGGCTATGGGGCCACACATGATGCCATGGCAGGTGGGTAATTGGGTGGTGTGGGCTTGGGTGGTGTGGGGTTGAAACTGGTGGGGATGGATGGTATGGAGATTGCAGGTGCGATAGGGTTGATCGCGTGGAAATGGCAGCGATGGGCGCGCGGGTGATGCGCATGTGCGAGTGCGACAAAAACCATGCGAGCGTGGTGGTGTGGTCGCTGGGGAACGAGGCCGGCTATGGGGCCACACATGATGCCATGGCAGGTGGGGTAGATTAGACGGAAGTATTGGGGATGGATGATAGTAAGTATGGAAATGTGTGGAGATCCTGAACCGATACACTAGGAATGGGGGAGGCCCCCACACCCCTGCAATGTACACCGCTCCCTAATTTCAGGCGAAGCATCCTCACCTCACTCTCACCATCTCTCCCCCCCTGCTCCCCCTTCATCCATCCAGCATGGGTGCGTCACAGGGACCCCTGTCGCCCCATACATTACGAGGGGGGCGGCTCCTCCACACTGCAGCACCATATAACATATGCACTCCCTGCAATCAACTTATCCTCACCTTCCCTGCTCCCGCTTCTTCCATCCAGCATGGGTGCGTCACAGGGACCCCTCTCGCCCCATACACTACGAGGGGGGCGGCTCTCGCACCACTGCCACGGACATCATTTGCCCCATGTACATGCGCGTGCCGGACATCAAAGCTATTGCTCAAGACCCCAAGGAAACCCGCCCCCTCATCCTCTGCGAGTGAGTCAATTGAAACTAAGTGGCTGAAAGTGGTTGGTACCACCACTGCATGTTGGCACCTCTGCCACGGACATAGTGCGTCCCATGTACATGCGCGTGCCTGACATCAACGCTATTGCTCAAGACCCCAACGAGACCCGCCCTCTCATCCTCTGCGAGTGAGTCAAGTCTTTTTTACGTGGCTCAGACTGGTTGGTTGGCACCACTGCCACACACCTAGTTTTGAGACGTCTCAAAACTTGGTTGGTTGGCACCACTGCCACACACCCTACTGTGCACATGCCTAACAGCATGCATGGGCATCGATGCACCATGCCCTTTCTCACCTGAATACCACCTCCCCGAGGTACACCCACGCCATGGGCAGTAGCAGTGGCAACCACGATGCTTGAGTTGACTGATTGACTCATCATGCAAGCCACGCCCCTTCTTACCTGAATACCACCTTCCCCAGGTACGCCCACGCCATGGGCAACAGCAGTGGCAACCTGGATGCGTATTGGGATGCCATCGAGTCCGACCCACGGGCTGCAGGGAGGCTTTATCTGGGACTGGGTGGATCAGGTGTGTGGGACAGGCTTTACCTGGGACAGGTTTTATCTGGAACAGCCATTGGTCGCCATTCCTCTCAAAAGGAAAGCGCTAAAAAGCCTTGCTCACCCCCTCTGTCCCTCGTAATCACTAGTCGGCACCGTTCCTCCTTTGAGAAAAGACTCACCCCACCCACCCACTCAACCCGACCCCACCTCGCCTCGCCCCACCCCATCTCACTCCACACCACACCACCAACTCGTCCCACTCACCCAATGCCATGCCCCTCATCTCCATCCTCTTCAGGGCCTTTGGAAGGACATGGCTCCACGCGTCAGCACGCAGATCAACAAAACTACCAGCAGCGGCACCAGCAATGGTATCAGTGGCACTGCAACAGCAAGTCCTGACAGTGATCTGAATGGCAAAGATGCTGCAGAAGCACTTATGAGTCGACTCAAAAGCAACAAGATTACCAGCAGCGGTACCAGCAATGGTATCAGTGGCACTGCAACAGCAAGTCCTGACAGCGATCTGAATGGCAAAGATGCTGCAGATCACCTGGTGGTCCTCCTTCGGTTGGTGCTGCGGAGGAAATGGCAAGTGCGGCACTGGTCGAAGCTGGGGAACCAGACTCGCCGCCACAAGCACCTGAGTCAGCAGCTGAGTCAGCACCTGAGTCAGCACCTGAATCAGCAACTGAGTCAGCACCTGAGTCGACATCTGAGTCAGCACAGGAAGGCGAAGCATCAGCTGGGACGGCAGTAGAAGGAGAAGCAGCAGTGGCATTGATGTCAGCAGCAGTACCTGAAGGATATCAGAGTAGCAGCAGCAGGAAAACTGGGATAGAGGTGCAGCAGCAGCAGCAGCAGCAGCAGCAGCAGCAGCAGCAGCAGCAGCCATGGGAGGAGGTGGAGCTGCCAGTGAAGCATCCTGGAAGGTTCTGGGCGTACGGGGGCGACTTTGGGGACACACCAAACGACCTCAACTTCTGTATCAATGGGCTTGTGTGGCCTGATAGGACTCCGCACCCTGCCATGCGCGGTAAGGATACTGTCTAATGCGAGGTGAGTGCGCGGTGGGCATACTGTCATGCGAGGGCGATTATTGTGCAAGAGGTGAATTTTGAGGCGCCTCAAAATTCACCTCACTGCACGCGGATTTTGAGGCGCCTCAAAATTCACCTTACTGTCATGCGAGGGTGATTATTGTGCAAGAGCGGTAGTGGCACGAGCGTAATGCAGGTTATGAGGAGCGTCTGCTCTCAACCGCCTCGTATCAACGGGCTCGTGTGGCCCGACAGGACTCCGCACCCTGCCATGCGCGGTGAGCATACTGTCATGTGCAGTAAGTGCGAGACTGTTAGTAAGAGAGGCCTCTGACCTCAACTTCTGCATCAACGGACTCATGTGGCCTGATAGGACTCCCTACCCTGCCATGCGCGGTGAGCATACTGTCATGTGTAGTAAGTGCGAGACTGTTAGTAAGAGAGGCCTCTGACCTCAACTTCTGCATTAACGGGCTCATGTGGCCTGATAGGACTCCCTACCCTGCCATGTGCGGTGAGGGAATTGGCTTGTAAGGTAAGCATAGTGCCATGTCATGCGAGGTAAGCACCCTGCCATGTACGGGGTGGTCCCTCGTGTCATCCCACCTGTATCGTCTTCCTCTCTTTTCATCTCACCCTTCTCATCCCCTCTACCCCTCCACTCTCCTCCCATGCCTCCACCCCTCCACGCCCCACCATCAGAGCTGGCCCATGTGTATCGCTACTTTGGCTTTAAGTGGACGGAGCAGGGTGACGTTGAGGTATGACATGTGTCGAGCTGGGAGCATGCACAGCGGTGCTGAGGGATGTAGAGTGCTGCAGAGTGGTTTAGAAGGATGCAGACCAGTAGAGTGTTTGTAGGTGTGGGGGGGCCGCATGCCCACCACATACACCCCTCTGTACCGCACTCAATCTCTTCATCCCCACCCTTATCTCCCTGTCCAACCTTCAACTCTTCTTTGTCACCTCCCATATCCTCCCACAAAATACGCCTCTCACTTACCCCTCTCCTTCTACACCTTCCCCTCTCTCTCTCCCCCCCTTTCCCCTTCCCCCCCTCCTCCCCTCTCTCTAACCACCAGGTTTTCAACAAGAGTTTCTACCAGCCCTCCTCCGCCTTCTCCTTCTCCTTCTCTCTCTTCTCCCTCCCTCCCCCCCCGCAATCCACCACCGCCCTTCCCCCCTCTCCTCCGACTCCCATCCTCTCCTGCCCACTCGCCATTCCTACCATCCTGCCACGTCAGTGCCACGTCATCCCCAGCCCCATCCCTGCTGACCTGGACTGGGCGGCGCATGGTGTCAGCGCTGACTCAGAGCTCTTTGCACTGTTCACTGCTACAGTGAACGAGAGAACAAGGTGGTGCGCTCCCGGGCAGGTTGTTGCATCTGTTCAGCTGCCCTTCAAGCTGCCCGAAGGAGCTGTTTCCACAAAGCCTGCCATATCCGAACCTGGGGTGTCCGAGCCTGCTATACCCATCCGCCAATCATCTGTTCTTGTCACATCCACTGATGGCTCGTTCGCAATCACTGTTCACGTCAAGACCGGTGGCGCACTTTCCTGGAAGGTGAGACTTGTCCTTTCAATAGTTTTCCTCTGTTCACTGCACAGCTTCTTGTTTTTGTTTTTCTTTGATTGTGAATATTAATAAACAAAAGGAAGTGAAAGAATTACCCCCCTTTTGAAGTCCCCCGTCCAATCCTTCGCTCCCCTTATGCCTTCAACCCCCCCCTAAACACCCTTCCCCACTCCCCCTTTCTTCCCCCCCCCCCACACAAATCACACAGATCAACGGCTCAGATGTGCTGCTCCCCCCCGTTCCATTCCTTGCCCTGCCTCGCCCTGTGGCGGGCACCCACGGACAACGGCAAGGGAGGCGGCGCCGCCAGCTACGCTGCCCGATGGAAGGCTACCAGGCTCAGCACCCTCGCTACTGCCCCGGGCTGTTTCCCACCCACTGTTCACACCTGCACTCCTATCCTTCCATTTTTTTTCTCAGGTCAACGGTTCAGACGTGCTGCTTCCCCCGTCCCTCGCTGCCCCCTGCCTCGCCCTGTGGCGGGCACCCACGGACAACGACAAGGGAGGCGGCGCCGCCAGCTACGCTGCCCGATGGAAGGCTGCTGGGCTCAGCACCCTTGCTGCTGCTGAAGCAGAAGGGGTGATTTCCCTAGTGGGGGATGCTTCAGTGGTGCCTGGAGGGGGGCCTGAAGGAGAGGGTGCGAAAGGAGGGGAAAGGGGTGAAACAGGGACGGGCGAAGAGGGGAATGGCGAAGAAGGGAAGGGTGGAAAGGGGAAGGGCATGGAGAGGCAGCAAGGAGAGGGAGACGATGAGCCCATGAAAGTTTCGATTGGAAAGGATGGGATGGTCACTGTGGTCGTTCAGGCAACTTTCCGACCCCGGGCAGATGAAATTTCCGAGGAGGGAGCAGTGGAGGCTGGTGCTGCTCCAACCAATCTGGTCGAAGCTTATGGTGGGGCGGAAGCTGAATCACCTGACAGCGCCGGGCAGGCAAAAAATATTACCGATGTGGACCGCTGGGTCCGGCTCAAGTCAGAATGGCAGATCCATGGCAGCGGGCAGGTCGTTGTAAAATTTTGGGTAGACCCAAGCCCAGCTCTGCCGCCTCTACCACGCGTCGGAATGCGGTTCCGGGCAGCGAAGAAACTTTCCAACGCGGTCTGGTCCGGGCGGGGCCCGCACGAATGTTATCCTGACCGGAAGCAGTCTGCACACGTGGCGCTTCACTATTTGCCGGTGAAATCCGTCCATGTGCCGTACATTGCTCCTGGGGAGAATGGAGCGAGAGTGGACACGCGTTGGGTCACACTCTTTACAAGCACACAGGAGGGGGAACAACAGGGGTCGGTGGGAGAACCACAGGAGGTTGCAGAAGGCGGTTCACAGCCAAAAGCAGAGGGGGGAGCACAGGTGGAAGCGCAGGGGGAAAAAAAAAAAAAAAAAAAAAAGGAGGCGGATGGGGGGAAGGGGAGGGAGTTATTCCAGAAGGTTCCGTTGGTAGGGCTTGTTATGGAACCAGTGAAGATAGGTGGGGGAAATGGAGGTGGGAAAGGGGTTAAGGAGAGTGGGGAGGGAGGGAAGGCGGTGGTGCATTTCAGTGCGAGTGGGTATGCTGCAGAGGAGCTGCATCGAGCACAGCATGAGGAGGAGCTGGTGGAAGACGAGGACTACAACCATGTGAGTGGACTGGGTAGATCTTGTAGGAGTGGATTGTGCGTTCAACCAAATTCCCTTGAATCTTATCAGAAGAGGTAATTTCTGAGTTTTTTGCTAGTAATCGAGCACAGCACAAGGAGGGGTTGGTGGAAGACAAGGAGTACAACAATGTGATTGGATCGGGGAGGGGATATGTTGAGGCTCCTATCGGAAGTGGTGATTTTTAGTTCATTCGAGAGGCATCGGGCACAGCATGAGGAGGAACTGGTGGAAGACGAGGAGCTCAACCATGTGAGAGGATCAGGGAGGGAAAGTCGTGAGAGAGGATGGTGATTAGGAAAAGAGAGGTGTGCTGTGGGAGGATGACCATTGCTGTGTTTCCTCACACCTACCAAGGGTTGAAAATGGTCAAACCTTGGCTGTGAGGTGTGTTTAATAAGCACCTGTGCCTCTCATCAGTGCACAAGGATTGATAAGCACCTATGAAGGTGCACCTGACTGTCCTCTCACCCTTCCCACTCTTCCCACCCTTTCAGGTGCACCTCGATCATGCCATTATGAGGGTGGGCGGCGATGACAGCTGGACTCCTGGTGACAGCTGGTTGCGTTTTATGACCACTGCTCCCTTCCTCTCCCCGCTCCCCCCACCTGTGCAGGTGCACCTGGATCATGCCATCATGGGGGTGGGCGGCGACGACAGCTGGACCCCATCGGTGCACAAGGAGTTTCTGCTGCCACCCCGCCCGTACGCATTTGGAGTGGCTTTCAGGCCCCTTATTGGGCAAGGGGAGTGACATGGTGAGCACAGCATTCGGCTTCAACGGTGCCTCAAAAGGTACCGTTCCGTCCGTTCCCTTGGTGAAATGGGATTGACACTTTGGCGCATAACGGGTTACTGCTGCCACCCCACCCCACCCGTACGCATTTGGTGGCATTTCGGCCTCTGATTCACGCTGTGGTGGAGTGACTTGTTTCTGTTCGTCACTGAGTTTCACTGGTTTGTCGCACAGGCCAGGAAGGTCAAGTGTGCTGCCGGCAGTTTGGTACGGTAAGTTTTTTCCCGAGAGAGCCGAACCTGGATCCCACCCATCCCAAACCTTCACAGGAACTTTCTGCTAAAGTACATTGTCCTGTCTAGCAACAATTGTTCTCTTTCTAGGAGGGCTTTGTTCATGCGTTGGAAAGGACCAGCAATTTTAGATCCTACCATACCATGTGCTTGTGCAAGACAGCAAAGCAAATAATACCTTTATGTTTACAGGGTTTCAACTCTTCACGGAAAGGACTGGGGCGGGAAGGATGCTGCACACCTAGGTCTTCGTAAGTTGCTAACGCATTCTAGGCTGGCTGGGGGCTGCAGAACCCCATATTAAACCGTATGTGCATAATAATGCACCCTTACGTGCCAGATTAAGGAATTTCACAGATAGGTTAAAGAGGCTTTATTTAAAATGGAATGGTAATGAGAGTGTAGTGTCTCAGCTATACTAGCTGGATTTGGCTTTACCGGTCTTCTGCCCCATGAGCACGGCAGCAAAGAAGATGAGGACGAAACCAAGCATGAGCACAGTGGCAGCAGCGGGAATGAGAACTGCGTAGATGCGCGGGAGGAAGAGCGCGTTGATGAAATGGCCGTCCGGGAGAAACGGCTGGGGGTGGGAGGGGGTGGGAGGGGGTGGGAGGGGGTGGGAGGGGTGTGGGGTGGGGAGGGGAGAGAAGAACAGCGGGAATTGAAGGGAGAAAAGGGAAGAGGGGAAGGGAGAGACAGCGAGTGGAAGCGAAACGAGCACGCCATGCATGGATGTGTGGGGCGAAGAGGGAGTTGATGGACGGATTGCCTGGACGAAGCGTCTGGGCCGAGGCGGATCGGGGGAAGCGATTATTGACGACGACACGGGGAGAACGGTAACCAGAAGTCGATCTAACCGGCACATTAATCAATTTGGGACGCGAGCACTCGTAGCCGAAAACCAGTCCTGTATCGAGACGATCTCGTCCGAAACGATGTGCGGGGACATGGTACTTACTGTAACGAGGACCCAGATGCTGTAGTACGAGAACACGGTAAGCGCGATCAGAACCAGCACGCCACCGACTAAGCGATCCACGGTTTCGCTCATCGCGTCTCCTGGATGCTACGAAGGCATACGACTTGTTTTCTATCCCCGAGAATTACTACCCTCCTGTGTGAACCAAGACCTCCCCCGCCGCCGGAAGTCCCGCTAGGATGTGATGTGGATGGCTGGAGGGTCTATTAGATTTGCGAGCTAGAGTGGTGATTCTTGGTTGAAATAGCTATTTTGTAAGTAGAAATGGTTTAGATTATGAGAACAGCCACGGTTACAGTTATTTCGCGAAACAAGGGAAAACTGGCTGACGAAAGTCCACAACCGAGCTGGTTTGCAGAACTATCATCGGGCAGCTCGAAGTGGGTCAATGGTTACATCATTCCGTGCGAAGAATGGTAGGCGAGGGTAACATTGAAATGTTTACTTCGTGAGTTGGCTTGGCTACCGCCAGAAACCTGCAAATCCTTTTTTTTCCAAAGCACACCCAGAGCTCCAGGTGTGCAAGGGCAGATTCTCCTGACTCCTCCTGATCCGGAGCAGGGCTGTCGATTGGTTCCAGGCCAACACTTGAGAGTCTGAGGTGCCCGTATTTCAGCCCTGAAATCTCCGGGAAGTGTCCTTTTCCGAGCCTTTAAGCGTCCGGGAAAGCACCCAACCAAAAACTTAAATTCAGGGCTACACTACAACAATCAGGGCAAACTCTACATAACGAGAAATAATAAGGCAGAGTTAATTTAGAACTGCTATCTACCTATCTACTTTCTCAACACTAATAACTAAGTGGCAGGCTTGCGGCGCTTCTACCCGTCGAAGATCTGGTACACACCTGCCCAGTCCACGTCGTAATCTAGCATTTTCACAGTCATAAGATCAGACAGGGAAAAACGGGAAGGGAGAGGGTGGGGGGGGGGGGGGGGGGGGGGGGGGGGGGGGGGGGGGGGTGTAGGAAGGGCTGTGAAAGTTTCTGGGTAGGGCAGGAAACTTCCGCGGGGATTCAGGGAAACCCTCCAAGAGGCCCCTGTAAGAATCAGGGGAAGGCCCAGCCCACACCCGTTATCATTCCGGGCTGTACAAAAAAACAACCCTGAGAATCTGGACTTTGGGGCAAAGTCAGACCTTAATGTTCAGGGCATTAAAGCCGCGGTGCAGATATCCGGGCTCCAGTTCAAACTATTATAGTTTGAAAGCCGCGTAACCCAGTATACACAGGAAAGCGAGCAGGGAGAGGTTTCTGCCAGCGGGGGAAGGGCGTGCGGAAAAGTCCTTCGCAGTATGATGTGTGTGGGGGGGAAACGGGGGAGGGCTCGGGGAAAAGCTCCGCTCAACGAGTTGAGGGGGAGCGCATCCGGCAAACTTGAAAATTCAAACTTGAACTCAAAACAACTCAAACTTGGCAAACTTTCACGCTTGAACTAGGTTCTTACTAACTTGAAGTGCGTTTTCCGAGCTACGCAGAGCCATTTCCGCTAAGATTTCTCGCGTTTCATGGTTTATTGACGTGCTCATGAATATCTGCGCAATTTCGTACCTCGTAAACACCTTTTTGTCGTATTCGAAGCGCATTGCGCTCGTTTTCCTCCGTTGCCGTCCTTATTCCTCTCCCGCCCCTCCATTCCTCACGTATCTGCGGTAGCAAAGGCGCAACGGTAGCGACAGGCAGGAATGGGTGCGACGGTGGCGAGCAGCGGGGCGACGATAGCTAGATATCGGTGGTCGCATATGAGCAGCGGGGCGACGATAGCGAGCGGTGCGGCGACGATAGCGAGCAGCGGGGCGACGATATGAGCAGCGGGGTGACGATAGCGAGCAGCAGGGCGACGATAGCGAGCACCAGGGCGACGATAGCGAGCACAAGGGCGACGATAGTGAGCATCAAGGCGACGATAGCGACAACCAGGGCGACGATAGCGAGCACCAGGGCGACGATAGCAAGCACCAGGGCGACGATAGCGAGCAGCGGGGCGAAGCATCTGTGCGACGGTGGCGAAGCATCTCGCGTCCCACCATGTCACCTCCCGGAATAATCCAATTTCCCCCTCTCCAATGCCTCCCCCTTTCCGATCCCTTGCCCGGTCCTCAGCATCAACTTCTCTTGGGCAGTGCCCTCCCTGTTTTCCTCTCCCTTTCCCCCTGTCCTCCTCTCCCTTTCCCCCTGTCCTCCTCTCCCTTTCCCCCTGTCCTCCTCTCCCTTTCCCCCTGTCCTCCTCTCCCTTTCCCCCTGTCCTCCTCTCCCTTTCCCCCTGTCCTCCTCTCCCTTTCCCCCTGTCCTCCTCTCCCTTTCCCCCTGTCCTCCTCTCCATTTCCCCCTGTCCTCCTCTCCATTTCTCCCTGACCTCCTCTCCCTTTCCCCCTGTCCTCCTCTCCCTTTCCCCCAGTCCTCCTCTCCATTTCCCCCTGTCCTTCTCTCCCTTTCCCCCTGTCCTTCCCTCCCACCTTTCCTCCCCCTCTCTCACATCCCTTCCCTTTCCTACTGTCCTCTTCCACCATTCACGCTTCTCTCAGCCATCCCTTTCCCCCCTCCCCTGCCCCTCGCCTTCCCCCACTACCGTCCCTTCCCTTTCCACTACGTTCTCTCGTCCAGCCCAGCCGACAGTACCAGCTTTGCTTGGCCACTGAAGGCTGTCTATCATATCTCAGTTTCCATGCTCTCTTCAATTTCCCTACCTAACATTCTTCAATAATGCGCAATGTTTCCTTCCCCTTTTCCCCTCCCCCCTCCTCCCTGTAAATGGACAGCTGCACCAATAGTGGATCGTAGTGTAAAAATCGGCTCTCCTTGGATTATGCCATGTTGTTTGCTTGCGATCCTTTGCATGATAAGGATTTCAATATGACATTCCAAGTCTTGCAGGTCTGTACATTTGATGTTCTGTCTCCCCATTATAAATAATACTCTTGCAAATGGATGGATAAATAAACCAAAATAAACCTTGTAAGTGAAATATGTATTTTGCAAAGCTTTTATGAAACATAAGGTTTATCGTTTTGCTATGTGGAGGTGTTATTGGCAGAACAATCAGCGAAAGGGAGTATGGGGGTGTTGATGTGGTCCCATTTCCCGTTTCGTGTGTGTTCCCCCCTTCCCTTCCCCCCACCCCTTCCCCCCCACTTTTCCTTTCGAGGTTCGCGACATTCGCCTTGGATGTTTTCATCGCAACACAACTTACACACTCGCTAGCCAATTGACTACCAGTACGGAACAAGACAAAACCCGGCTTGTCACTGTTCCTAAGATAGTTGCACCGCGGCTTTAAGGCCATATGCCCTTGAATCGACAGCCCTGGTCACGTCTCATCCCGAATCTCCCCCCCTCTGTCGGGAGGAAATGGAATGGAATCTGTGCGAGTTTGACGACCCCCTTTTGAACGACTCGAGGTTGGGTTGGGACGATGCTTTCAAGAAAGCGTTCGGAGTTTTCAAGGAAAGATATCGATATGTTCATCATAGTTTCAAATCGTTGACAATAATTTGAAGGTTATATAAACCCTTATGCAGTTGGTGAAGGCCTGCGTTTGGACATAAACCTGTACGACATAAGCAATGCATATCGTGATTTTTTCTGCTGAGGTGCAGAATTATTCTCATATGTGTACGCACGCCACATCGCACTGACCTTCAAGTTGGCAAAGACGCTCATTTGACATGAGCGTTTTCTAGAAGGTATGAGAGAAGCCCAATGGACTGAAAGCCCACAGCTCTCTACATTATTGAATGTTAGATAGAACCTTTGTTATGTTAGAACAAACACGAGAAAGGATACCAAGGAAGAAACATGGGTACAGTAACAATAGCATCAACCTTTTCGTAAATGTCGAGCACGTGGTATGGCTGTTATATTACCATCCACCTCTAAGTCACCTATTCTAAACCTTAAACTCCTCAAAACCACTCCAGAAACCTCTCCCTCATATAACAATCCGAAATATCGGTAAGAAAGTGAATGGATGCCATAGCAGTTCCACACATGGGGCAGTGACGTGAACCAGAAGCATGGCAGAGGAATGTGATCAGTGCGATCTGCCAGAATGCTTTGAAGAAAGAGAAGCTCTAATGCCACTGGGTTGGTCGAGGAGGGTCCAACGAGCGTGATTGTATAGCTGAGCTCCACACGAGAGCTGAACCTGCCATGAGGTCAAGTTAAAGGGAACAGAGATGAGGGGAAGGGGCAGTGAGGAAAGAGCAGCTCTAATGCCACTGGGTTGGTCGAGGGTCCGGCGAGCGTGATTGTATAGCTGAGCTCCACACGAGAGCTGAACCTGCCACGAGGTCAAGTTAAAGGGAACAGAGATGAGGGGAAGGGGCAGTGAGGAAAGAGAAGCTCTAATGCCACTGGGTTGGTCGAGGGCCCGACGAGCGTGATTGTATAGCTGAGCTCCACACGAGAACTGAACCTGCCACAAGGTCAAGTTAAAGGGAACAGAGATGAGGGGAAGGGGCAGTGAGGAAAGAGAAGCTCTAATGCCACTGGGTTGGTCAAGGGTCCGGCGAGCGTGATGGTATAGCTGAGCTCCACACGAGAGCTGAACCTGCAACAATAGAAACAGATAGGATGGAAGAAGAGCAGCAGGAGCAGGAGTTTTTAGTCGACTCAAAACACGGAGCGTGATTGTATAGCTGAGCTCCACACGAGAGCTGAACCTGCAATGCAATCAAGTACGGTACCAATAGAATCAAATAGGACAGAAGAAGAGCAGCAGGAGAGGGAGGTGAGGAGTCAGAATGGACGAGTAAAAACCGCTGATGGAGAGAGGTGAGAACTGCAAATGGCCGAGAGCAAGAGCATGGCTATTTCATGGCTGGAAGTTGGAAGTATCTTTGCGCTCACAGCACTCCAACCTACGGTACCTTGTTCAACTTACCGCAACTCGCTGACATACGCCCCGCCATACACCACTCCATCGCTCGCAAACGCAGCACCGTATTTCGGCGCAGGACATGTAGCCTGCTCCAACCTACTGTACGTTGTTCAAATTTACTGTAGCTCGTTCAACTCACCGTAGCTCGCTGACGTAAGCCCCGCCATACACCACTCCTTTGCTCGCAAACTCAGCACCGTATTTCGGCGCAGAGAATCGGGGTGGAAGAGAGGCGTCCCCCACAGGGTCCCTGTGAGCCTACTGTACCCTGTTCAACTCACCGTAGCTCGCTGACATACGCCCCGCCATACATCGCTCCATCGCTCGCAAACGAGGCACCGTATTTCGGCGCAGGGAATCGGGGTGGAAGAGAGGCGTCCCCCACAGGGTCCCTGTGAGCTCGTTCAACTCACCGTAGCTCGCTGACATACGCCCCGCCATACACCGCTCCATCGCTTGCAAACTCAGCGCCGTATTTCGGCGCAGGGAATCGGGGTGGAAGGGAGGCGTCCCACACAGGGTCCCTGTGAGCCGCCGCCATCTTCCCTTCAGCCACGATCCACCACTCCATCTCTGCCGGCCACAGGTAGGCCTTCTGGCGGGCGAGAGAAGGCAGGTGCAGGGTGCCGCCAGGCTGGCAGCTGTTCACCGAGTATACTGTCGGTGCAGTGCTCTCCCAGTCAGGGCCAAAACGAAAAAGCTGGAGAGAGAGGGGGTGGGGTGGGAAAGGACAGGGAGGCACAGGGGAATGTGTGGAGGAGGAGAGGAGTCAAGTCAACCACCGGGAATCGGGGTGGGAGAGAGGCGTCCCCCACAGGGTCCCTGTGAGCCGCCGCCATCCTCCCTTCTGCTACGATCCACCACTCCATCTCTACCGGCCACAGGTAGGCCTTCTGGCGGGCGAGAGAAGGCAGGTGGAGTGTGGGGGCAGGCTGGCAGCTTTGCACTGAGTATACAGTTGGTGCTGTGCTATCCCACTCACTGCCAAACCGGAATCGCTGGAGAGGGAAATGGGAAGGTGAGGAAAAGTTACAGGGATATGGTTCCTGAGTTGACTGAAGAACCTTGTGGAGGGCGAGAGACGGCGGCAGGTGGAGGGTGCGGGCAGGCTGGCAGCTGTGCACCGAGTACATGGTCGGTGCTGTGTCCACCCAATCAATGCCAAACCGGAAAAGCTGGAGAGGGGGTTGGGACGGTGAGGCACAGGGGAATGCGAGGGTGGGAGCAGGCAGGCAGGCTGGCAGCTGTGCACCGAGTATACGGTCGGTGCTGTGCTGCCATCTCTTACTCGCTGTCAAACCGCAAGAGCTGGAGAGTATATAAAGAGATGGGAGGAGGAAAGGTTATTGAGGGTATATAAAGGGAGTTGGTGCTTCGCGCGTGTTTTGAGTCGACTCAAAACACGACTCATATAAAGGGAGTTGGTGCTTCCGGCGCTAGAAAAGACGGGTGAGAGCTGTGGGGGTGAGGGGAGGGGAGGGGGGGGGTGGTGGGAGGGAGGGGAGTGGGGGGGAAGTGGGGGGGTGTAAAAAAGGGTTCGCGACATAGGTTGAAAAAAAAAAGGGCTGGGAGGCAAGGCAAGCATGGCAGACAGGTGAGAGGTCCCATGTTCTCACCTGTCTACAGACATTACAGCCCATCTATCCACACACATACCCACAGGACAGGCAGCCCACAGGACAGGCACCCACGGGACAGGCAGCCCACCCACTCACTTGTTCCGCCTTTTTTGTGCTCTTCACTTGCACCCCTCCAGGCACTGCTGCTGGGCTCCTGGGCCGCTCTACCATGAGAGAGAGAGGAGGACTTTCAACATTACCCCCCACGGTCAGCTGAACTAGAATTCCCGGGCAGGATTCGGAGGAGTCTGAAAGTACGAGGGAGGCTAAGATGCCTGAACCGTGCAGGAAGGAGGTGAGAAAGGCTGTGTGGGAGAGGGGAGAGACGGAAAGGAGAAAGAGGCAGTTTTTGGAATGCTTCGAAACCAAGACGCTTGTTCCGTGCAGGAAGGAGGTCAGAAAGGCTGTGTGGGAGAGGGGGGGAAAGGGGAGAGAGTTTTGGAATGTACTGGAAGTGTGGATGTACGAGGGAGACCAAGACGCCTGAACCCCGTGGGAAGGAGGTCAGAAAGGCTACGCAGGCGAGGAGCGTGAAATAGCGCAGAGGAGCGTAGAACGGCGCAGAGGAGCGTAGAACGGCGCAGATGAGCGTAGAACGGCGCAGATGAGCGTAGAACGGCGCAGATGAGCGTTAAATGGTGCAGAAACAAGCGCGTACTTTGGGCTGTTGCGGTTGTGAAGAACACGGCGAGAAGGAATGACGCTGCCGCGGGAGCAGTTGCACATGCAAGAATGGGGAGGGGGGTTGGAGGAAGGAAAGGGAAGTATGAGTATTAGGGTGAAAGGCTAGACGTAATGGATAGAAGAATAGAAAGGTCAGGCAAAAGAAAGAAAACGGAGGGGAGCAAGGAGGAGGGGGCAACGGGTGCGACGCGGGAAAAATGGACGTTGACTTTTGGCAAGAGGATGAAAGTCGACGCTGTTCAACGTGAGAGGGAAGGTTGTGTGTTGCACCTGCTATGAACGCATGGCACCTGTAAGCAGCCATGGCCGTGGTAGTGAAGAGGATGAAAGTCGACGTATTGAAATGTGAGAGTGAAGGTTGATGATTGTTGCACCAACCAGGAACGCACAGCACCTGTAAGCAGCCATGGCCGTGGTAGTGAAACCGTTCGTCGCGGAAGGAGATCGCACATGTTGACTGAAGACTGTTTGAAAAGGATTTCAGCGGAATAAACGCCTCTAACGTGTGCCAGATTCTCCAAATTTTACTAATTCTTACCCTAGGTTCCGTCTCACACACTACTTGCAAACTGGGAATTTCTGAAACCATGATAATTCCGGTGGTCTTTTGAAATCTCGTCGCCCAGAAGACGTCCTGCGACCTGTTGTCGGTCTGGGGTAGGTAGGTTCGGGTCGGCTGGGCTTGGCGCGGGTGCATTCTGCAGCCAGGGGGTGGACATTGCAGTCCAGTCCTGACTCCCCCGTGTGGTTCAACCGTCTTTTCAGTTGCGGTTTCGTCTTGAGAACATACGGGTGTCGTCTCCCTCTGTGGCTAGGTGTCATTTGTCGGTACAGTAAGCCACCAAAAGGCCTCGTCTGAACAGATTCAGTTTCATTGGTTGAGGTGTGTCGAGAAGAAACGCGTTGCAGTTCTGAGTCGCGTCTAACTGGCTCAAAAGTCTGAACTGTACCGGGTGTTGCAATTGAAGCTGTTTTGGGTTCACTCTTCCAACATTGTTTCAACATTTGACATAAGTAAAACATGAATGAATATTCCTCTTAAAAGAAATTGCAGCAGATGCCTGTCAATACGATTGACAATCAGACCATATTGACAGCAATTGACGTGTATGAATAGTTTATCAAAATGGCACACGTGAAAAAAAAAGTATAATTAGCACGAAAAAGCAGCATGCTAAGGGGAAGTGGCAAATGATGTAATCTCCAAGTACCTGGCACTGTCCAGAATGTTATGGTATCTGAACTCGCTCTTAGCTTGAAACTTGCAACGGAATTATTCTAAAGCGCAATTTCACATCCTCTCGTTCCATACCTCCCCTCTTTCCGAATCTCCGCAGATTTGCTCTCCTGCGAATGACATCTCCCCCCCTCTCTTCCCCCACACCCACCCACCCCATTTCCTCCCCTCCCCTCCCTTCCCCTCCCCTTTCCTCCCCTCCGCTCCCTTCCGCTCCGTCCCTCTCCCTTCCTCCCCTCCCCCTTTCCCCTCGCGTCTCCTCCTCCTCGCCTCGCCTCTTCTCTCCTCCCCTCTTGTCTCCTCTCATCTTCACACCGCCTCTCTTCGCCTCTTCTCACCTTTCTTCGCCTCTCCCCACCTCTGTTGGCCTCTCCTCACCTCTCTTTGCTTCTCCTCACACAACTCCTCCTTTCCTTCTCTCAGCACATTCACGTTTCAACAAGTCGAGAAGTTTCTTTGATTTTAGCCACCAGCAGATCTTTTCAAACTGTTCTGCTCCAGCAGGGCAGCCATGGCTCCAGCTGTTGCCCGTCAGATTCTAGTCAAAGTGCCTTGTTCTGCTGCCGCTGCTCTGACTCCTCTGCCGCGAACCTCATCGGCTCGTTGCCAGAGTCCGTCAACTCCGTCAACTCCGTCTTCTGGCCGGCTATCCTCAAGCTGGAACCATAGTGTCGTCGGCTTGTCGGCGCAGCGGCCATTGCAGATGACGAATGCGGGAAGAAGCTCAGGGTTTACGAGCAAGGCGACGAGCAGCACTAGATGCAGCGCGAGTAGCAGTACTCAGGCGACCAACACAAGCCCCTCGAAAGGTTTGTGCTTTACCTGCTCATACATCTATGCCGTTGATTTGATCTGCCCGCTCGACGCAGATCAGCCGTTTCTATCGGGGACAGCGTCTCATTTTTACGCCAATTCTGAAACCCTAGCATACCTAGCCGAAGCGCGTTCCGGCCACAAACAAATGGCACTCCTTGATCCCTACTAGGGTACCTAGCCGAAACACATTGTCGTAGCACGGATCGTCACCAATCATGTTCCCGCGAACACCTCTTTGATCTACTCTCTCTTTGTCCCCGAAATGCTCGTGATCGCCCAAGGAACCCAGCAAGGGTAGCCGCAGCACATCGCAGCTGTATAGGTCGTTCCCGATCACGCTTCTTCTAACCCCTGTTCGTACCGTTTTCGGGCTTCCTCGACAAAATCAAGTGCCTTGTTGCACCGTCTTGAACCATTATTCGCTGCCTTCTCTTCCTTACCTTCCTTCCGGACTCCTTCGTCGCTGCTCCCTTTCCCTCTGTTTCTTTTACCTCCGCCCCCCCTTCCTTCCGCTCGTCCTACTCTCCGATCTTCTTTCAGACGTGCTGCGCGTGTGGCGAGCGGCGGACGCGGTGTGCTTCGACGTCGAGAGTGCCGCATGTGTGGGGTTACCCTTGCCCGTCGATACCCTTTCCCTGTTCTCCCCTTCCTTCGCTCCGCTCCCCCTTTCAGACGTGCTGCGCGTGTGGCGAGCAGCGGACGCGGTGTGTTTCGACGTCGACAGCACGGTCTGCGTCGACGAGGCATCGACGAGCGATTTCCAAAAACCCTCTCAGATTTTTTTTATCATTTCTGCCTCCTTTCCTTCCACTCCCCCGTCCTTGCGCTCCGCCTTTCTCCACTCCGCTCCCCCGTCCTTCCGTCCCTCTTCCTTCCGCTCCCCCATCCACTCTGCTCCCCATTTCAGACGTGCTACGCGTGTGGCGAGCGGCGGACGCGGTGTGCTTCGACGTCGACAGCACGGTCTGCGTCGATGAGGGCATTGACGAGCTCGCCGCGTATTGCGGAGCGGGCGAGGCAGTTGCTGCCTGGACGACCAAGTAAGTAATTCCGCAGAACGAGATCGTTCCTGAACTGTTTTTTGTCAATTTGTTTTTTAATTATCTGCGGCTATTGAGAAGGCCTGACTGCCAGCCCTCAGGGCTTCAATGGCGTCCGTTCCTAGCATGATGCCGCTACATCGCAAGCAATTCACCCTGTCAGTCTCGACCTGACCGCCGCTCTGATTCGCGGCAGCGGTTTGAGGCCGTGGGGTGACATAACCTGGCTGTCTGCGAAATATAAATGCTCCTACCATTTTATGCTTTTATGCCAGTTACCATCAACTAACTCTATCCTGCTCCCTTTTCTGCCCGGAACATCTAAATTGTTTTCCTTCCTGCCCGTACAGGGCCATGTCTGGGTCGGTTCCGTTTGAAACAGCTCTGGCCGCTCGGCTGGAGATATTTAATCCATCCGCTGCTGACGTGGCAGGGTTTCTCAGAGACCATCCGCCAAGGTATGATAATATCGGCACTATTCGCGAATAGTTTTTCTATGATCAAACTCCCCCCCCCCTTCTTTTTCTGTTTTTTTTGTATCCGTTCAATTTTGTTTTGATTGTCGTCTCTTTTTCTTGTCTGTCGTCGTATACATAACCTCTTATCACATGTTGGTTACTGTATCCCTTGTATCTCCGTGCCAGGCTAAACCCCGGTATTGGTGAACTTGTTAAAAGATTAAAGGCGAGAGGAACCGAGGTGTACCTTATTTCTGGTGGCTTTCGACAAATGATTGAGGTCAGTCGTGTAATCTCTCCCTCTTCTTCGCTTCCGTACAGTCTCTCTCTCCACTCACCCCCGCGTGTACTCTTGAAATCTTGAAACTTCCCCAAACACCCCCACCCCCCCACTCCCCCCCCTTCCCAACCCATCCTCCCCGCCCGCCTCCTTTCCGCTTGCTGTCCCTCCCTCCTCTTCCCGATCTTCAAACCCCTCAGCATTTTCGCTCCCAGTCCCCCCTTCTTCGGCTCATTGTCCCCTTCCTCCTTTCATGCCTCCCCCGGTTCTCCTTCCCGCCTCCCTCCCGTTCCCCTTCCCGCCCCCCTCCCGTTCCCCTTCCCGCCCCCCTCCCGTTTCCCCTTCCCCCCTCCTTGCCCACCTTCTCCTTCCCCCACTCCCGTTCCCCCGACTCCCTCTCGCGTTCCCTGCCTCAGCCTGTTGCCGCGCTTCTGGACATCCCCGTTACAAACATCTTCGCCAACCGTCTGTTGTTCGAGGAGGGGAGCGGCGCATATGCTGGGTTCGACGCTAACGAGCCCACGTCTCGGAGCGGCGGCAAGGCCCGAGCTATCGCGCAGCTGAAGCAGGTGGGAATGCGGGGGTGTGGGGGGGTTGGGGGGAAGAGGGGGACGAGGAGGGATGTGAGGAAGGGATTTTGACGCGAGTGAGCCCACGTGTAGGAGCGGCGGCAAGGCCAGAGCTATCGCACAGCTGAAGCAGGTGAGCATGGGGAGAGGATGTGGGAGAGAAGGGGGGATATGGCGAGGGAGAAGGAAAGGGCTGGCTAGAGAATACGGGGTAAAGGGGC